GAAGTCACGCGTTGCATGTATGTCAAATAAGTTTAAAAACATAAGAGAAATAGGTGAAGATACATATCAAGTGATGCTTAAAGATAGATTTTATAGATGTGATACATGTTTACAAGAGGCATTCTTCACTTTAGATAATGCTAAATACTGGTATTTGGTTTTCATTTATGATTTTATGTATAAATGCATGGATGTTAATCGTTTTCATTTCATTGAAGGTGATACTGATTCATCTTATTGGGCAATCGCTGGCGACCCAAATCTTCCTAACACTCAAGCATTTCAAGCAATTGTTACTGATAAACAATTTTATGATAAAAACATTTTCAAATTCGCACCTTTTGATTTCTTCTGTTTTGATGAGAAATGTAAACCTAAATTAAAGAATAAAGCTGAAGAAAAAGCACATGAGAAGAAGTTATTGGGTTTAGCAATTGAGAAACAAGGTGATAACATGGTTGCTTTATGTCCTAAGTGTTATACATCATTCAATGGTTCAATCGATGGAGGTGATTTTAAAAAGATTGCACAAAAAATGAAAGGTGTTAGTTTACGACAAAATAAACAATTAACACCTAAAAATTATTTAGATATAATAAATGATAAAGTGATATTTGATGGTCAGAATATTAATTTACAACTTAAAAACGGGTCAATGACTCGCTTAACAATTGGTAAGACTGCATTAACAGGAGCACACACTAAGGCTGTATGTTGTGAAAATGGATGTTGTATGCCATTTATTTAATACAATTTAAAATTTTATTTTTAATGAAATGCCACAGAAGAGACAAAAGGAACCGTTAATGATGGTTATGAAGTTGATCAAAGAGGTGGGCACCCTTAAACACTTATTTTATTTTTATATAAAATGAATAGCGCAGATTTATTTTATATTTAAACGCATGCATTTAAAAGCGACATCACATGTGAAAGCTTTATTTGAAACTAGAGTTGCTTTAACTTTGCGTTTAATATATGTGTCACCTAATTGGTTCACATCATGAGCCGGATTTGTAATTCTTAAATGAGTTTGTTTATCATCAAAATATGGAGCATCAGAGTCATAGCATGAACTTTCAAGTTCTCTATAATATCTTCTACCGTCATTCTTTGCGAATATTTCATTTATCTTTTCGAATGAATGAAACACATTTCCATTAATCGGTTTAGTGTTTGGCACCAAATAGTTAGTCGTCATTTATTAATAAATAAAAAATCAAAATTAAAAGATGAAAATGAATTTTTAATTTTAATGAAATAATCAACTATGGCTGCAGGATTCTTTAAAAAATTATGGGATAAAGTAAAAAGAGGAGCGCATAAAGTTTGGGAAACATTGAAGAAGGGAGCAAATTGGATATTTAAGAATAAAGAAGCAATTAGTGACGTTGCTGAATCAATAACACCAAAAGCTGCCCCAATAAGAGAAATATTAAATAAAGGAGAAAAAGTTTATCAAAGACTACAACCGATACTAAGATAAAAATAATATTTATTTATTTTTCCACTATCTACCTCCTATTTTATTAAGTATTCCTTCAGCTATTCCACCAATTGCGTTACCTGCTTGTGCTCCCATCGCCGGATTACCTGCTTTAGTACCTAATACTCCACCTATGATAGTTCCTGCCGTTTTCGCTACTGGTGCCAAAAAGTTTGCAATGGGTTTAATAATCTTTTGATGAACCCACCCTGCAGCTTTCTTAATTCCATCCCATAATTTTTTAAAGAATCCTGCAGCCATTTCTGATTTAATATTAATTAAAAAATATATTTCATCACTTATATTCTAATTTTTATTTTTATCATAAATGAAACCGATTTTAAAAATAAATGAAACAGAGGAGGAAGAAAGTGAAAATGTTCAACAAAAAATAAATGTTGTTAAACCAATTACTGAAATAAAAATTTTTTCATCTGTTGAAGAATTTAATGACTATTATGCTAATAATAAAAAATTATTTGAAGAATTGACAACATGTAAATTGAATAAAATGTTTAAAGTTGATAGATTCAAAATTTCAAAAATAAAAGGAGTGGTTAGTTTGAAATCTATTCCTCAATCAAGAATCACCTCATTAATGAAAATTGATGATTTAACAAAAAGAATAGAAGAGATTGAAGAAAGAGTAAATCAAATAATTGATTTCATAAATTCAAATAATCATTAATTTCTAATTTATTTTTCTCATTTATGAGGTCTTTGATTATGACTCCGTTGATTCCATTCAGGATTTAAACAATGTTTAATTAATCGTGGAATATCTGACATCATCTATATATAGCTTCTTTTATAAAAGATGAAATATATTTCATTATGTATGGGCTGAGTGTAAATGTCTTACGATTTGAAAATTTTTTAAATCTTGATTTATTCAAAAACGTAAGAATAAAAACCGTAAGAATCATACATTTTTTACTTCATATGTTAAAAAAAATGATACAAAATCGTTCAATATTGTATGAATTCTTACGTTTACAAAAAAAGTCACACAACCCTTCCACATATACTACTTTACTTGAATTTAAAATGTTGTTTTACATTATATCAGCCAAATTTCCAAATACACATATATTTCCAATTTTTCAATTTGTGGTTTATCCAAACATATCTCATACCGAAATGGCTCACCAAAAAGGTGACATTTTTGGCGCCAATAATTTGATTTTTCTGATTCTTTCTATTTAGATATATTTATTTAATATTCATATTCCTTTATATTGCCTCATATTATTTCCCATTTTTAATCATATTATACAAATCTTTAATAATTTTTAATGTTTTGAGCTTCAAAATCTTGTTCTAACTATTTTCATTCATATATCCTAGAAAAAATTAAAAAGTTTTTTAGAAATAAAAATGTTTGTATGTAAAGTATTGAAAATATTCTAGATGAGAAGACATTCTCCAGAAGAGATTGATATTGATTGGCTTTGTGAAGCCATCACAAAATCAAATAATGGAGTTAAGTTAACTGATATTTGCGCGAAAGCTAAAATAAATCATGAAGGCAGAGTTATATATAATCATACTATCTTAAAGTATTCCTAGAAATTTCCAAAATTAACCGAAATATAACTGTAAATTACTATTTTCGAGATAAAATTCATATGGAAATACTAATTCATAACGCTTTATGTTATATAAAATTTAATTTATAAAAATTTCAAAATAAATCAAATTTAACACAATGAATATAACTGCAATCGAGGTTTTTGACGATTGATTCTTACGAGAAGTTTTTCAAACTTTGAGTTAATGTCAAGACATTAACTCAAAGTTTGGAAGTCTAATAAGGGGAATTGTAGGCTATGAGGTACTGATTATATATCAGTGCCTCATAGCCTGCAATTCCCATTAGAAATCGGAGAAACTTTGTCCGCATAACTTATGATGCGGACAAAGTTTCTCCCATTTCTACTTAGAATGAAAGGGCAAGAGGTATATAGGTACACTATATATCTCTTGCCCTTTCCTTCTTACCTAAAGACTTCCAATCTTATTTTTTTTCCAATTTTTCCCCTAAATTTAAATCTTATATAATATAAATAAAATGCATAATATCAATCACAAAAATTAATGTTTATTTTTTTAATTAAAATTGCCGCGCAATTTAAGGTTTTCTGTCACTTTTTGTGAGCCATTTCGGTACGAAACAGTGGTTTATCCAAACACTTCAGAAAATATTGCATTCTGTCTCAAGGCATTTTTTAACTGGGCAAAAGTAAAACCAAAATATTTTATATCAGATTGTGCACAAGAAATCGAAAATGCGATTATCAACTCTTTTCCAGAAGTTATCCTTCATTGGTGTGCAGTTCATGTATTGAGGGCGTTCAAAAAATTTTTGAAAGATTATGCATTTGAGAGTTCAGACAAATTGATATTAGATACAAAAATGAACTATCTTGCATACGGCAGAAATGGCAAGAAAGAATGGATTGAACCAACGTTCAAAAAAATTCTGGAAATAGCCGAAAAATTCCCAGAATTTTCAAAATACATACAAAATCAATGGATATCAAACCAAGACAGATGGACAGCCACCGAAAGAGATGAAAATTTAGCTCTCACAAATAACATTTCAGAATCGATTAACAAAAAAATTAAATATTGCTACTTTGGCGGAACAATTTTCATGAGATTTGATATCCAAGAAAACAACGTATAAGCATGCACTAACAAATGTTCCATTGATCACAGGCAGAGTCCGCCCCAAAATAGATCCTAAGACATTTCGTAAAGCAGTACTCTTCCATGTTGCACGAGGTGAACAATCATTCCTTAGGCTTTTAAACCAACAACCAGCAGTTGATCCCCTACATATACTACGTGCTCGTGAGCAAATTGAACGGCTTATAAATACACGTGATAATACACTTCAAGCCGCTGGTGACAGTCAGCGGCAATCTACATCTGGTGACACTCCAGCACATGCAGTTGGTGATGAGTCACAATCTAGTTCTTCTCAAAGTTTTTCTGACAATAATGATGAATCCTCCGAAAAAATATCTTATTCCACATCACAGTCTGATGTTGAACCTCTTCCATCGATAGAAGAACCATCCTTTAAAGACTTTCATATTAAAACAGGCCTACCTCCTAAAGAAATAACTACCACTCTTATAGAGGTTGTGAGTAACTTATTAGAGCCATATATTAATCCTCTTGCAAATCGCCAGCATGCAACTCTTGGAATTATTGGAACATATGAAACAATCCACAATGATTTACTTTACGCTAGAAGACATTATCAAAGATTCAAATTAATGAAGCAGGGAAACCTCCAAATTACACAAACAGATGATTGGCTTCATAATATACCCCGTGCAATAGATCTTAACCACATTGATAAGAGTATTCCTACTGAATCAAGAAAATGAGATTATTCCTGAGTCTTTAAGACTTTTGCAAATCAACTACCTCCCTATTGATCTCATTCCAACGCCCAGCGTCCATGATATAATAAAAGTCTTTAGAGTGTTAAAGATTAATCATGAGCGCGAACATCGACATGCCAGAGGTCAGTCAGTTTTATGAAGCTAATTACGTGAACATGATCTGGCATGTCGATATTCACTTTTTTCATAAAGAAAATAGGGGGTTCTTCTTAGAATCAATGAAATCCAAAAATATTGGTCATATTTTCATTACCCCCCATTGTCCCTACAAAAACGGCAAGATAGAAAGAATTTGGCCTGGAATTGAGCAGCATTGCGCTAAATGGACTGATATACATCGATGGATTCTACGGTATAACACAAAACCTCATAAAAGTCTTCCAGATCATTTAATTAATGGAAAACATATCCATTTAGCTCCTTACCAAGCGTTCAAAAGGTTAACCAAATGGGCCGAAGGAATGAAAAATCTTTAGAGAGTCGATGGTGAATTAAAAGAATTAAATTTAGAATAAAAATTTTAAATATAATTTTATTATATTTTTTTTAAAAATATCATTTTATAATAAATATAGATTTATTAATTATAGAAAGCTATAATATAATTATATATTTGTGATAAATACCTTATTTTCATAAATATGATATGTAAAGTTGTCACTTTTTGTAAAGTGTCAAATTCCTTAACCCCGTATACAACAATACAACTTACCGCCTGTCGTTCTTTTGGCTGTCTGAGGTTTCTTTGATCTTGTGATATTCATGATCGAATCCTCGATAACACTTTCGGCAATAATATCCATGCATGAGTGTTTCTTCAGTACTCTGTTTGTTCCTGTTTGTTCATGAATGTACATTCCTTTCTCCATTGAGTTGCTCTGAGCACAGTGCATGTTAATGGCGGACGCTTCCATTAAAAATGGCACTTTTCTAAAAATTTTATATTGTGTCGCCGGTGCTAGCTACTGGCTAGCACCGACGCACAATATATACCGTACTTTCAGTTCTAAAAGGATTTCGTTTTTGACGAACAATATTTAATGCTTTTTGGTTTGTTCATTTTCGAGAATAAAGATTATAATTTTTGTTGATTCAATGATGTATGCTAATTGATTTTTACATATTTTACCAAATTTTATAAATTTGATTTGAATTTGCTAGAGAATTTTATTAAAAACAACATGAAATCATAAAATTATTTTGTTAATGTCATAAGACGAAATGGTGGAAGTGAGGTGAAGTCAAAAACTGACACATATTTGGCCGGCTAAATTCCCTTTTAGTTTACATGTCAAAATTACAATAAATTAATTATTTTGCTTAGCAATTAGCTATGTATTAAAACTAAAATTATTACTATTCAATTCTTTACATTCAAATATTAAACAATTCAAATTTAATAACAAAGATATTACAATAAATAAAAAAATGATTAAAAATGTCCCTGAAAATTTTCTGAAAGCTATCTCGTGTTTAGGTCTCAATTTTTTTAGAAATAGAAAAAGATTGGATTTAACTTTCAAACATTATATATAGTTTTGTATATGGAAGCCTTTAAATACAAGTTAATGATATGGAGTTGTATTGCGAGGAAGAGGGAATCAAAGAAATTGACGAAGTTCCAGAATTTTATTCAACAATTCTTAATCAATTAACAAAAACTATACCGAAACTTATCTTACCATCCAAATCAAATCACATTACATACGGAATAAACATTTAATCTTTTACCATTAAAATTATATTTATACGTTATTTGATTTTTTTACGTCTAAGTTGAATAGGATAATAGCCGAAGATATAAAGTAACTATAGTTTACAAGCTAAGGAACAAATCAGCATTGAAACTAAAAAATGCTGAAATATTATAATAAATTGAAGAAATACTGTGATAGAATACCTAGTTATACTAGATACTATTATAATATGAATTCATTTGTATTGAATATCGATAATAAAAAATCGATGAAATATTAAAATGAGAATAAATTAATAATGAGATTATAAATTAGAATTATTTCTTGTTGTGCATGAAAATTCGGTTCACTTCACTTCTGACAAAAATGACAAGTTTACATGGCAAAAATAGTTTACATAGCAAAAATATATAGGGTATTTTTTTAAAAGTAGTTATCTTTATATATAAAAATAAAACTTTTGATATATTTGAGTAAATGATTTATTAATTTATTTATTTATTTTTTTTAAATCAAATCATATAAATATATATATATATAATAGTGAAATAGAACAAGAGATAATTATTGATGATTAAATTGTAGACGAGGATAAAAGTTTAGATAAATTAATAAAATTAGTGTGGAATCAGACAAATTTCGGGTTGTTTGGGAAGGAATTGTTGGCTATGATGTACTGATTCATGATCAGTACATCATAGCCAACAATTCCTTATACAAAGTTCAAAAACTTGGGTGCAATCAGAACTGATTGCACCCAAGTTTTTGAACTTTCTCGAGGGAATGAAAGGGTAAGAGGTATACATTATGAATATATACCTCTTACCCTTCCATTCCCTCTCTGACAGCGGGAAACTTTGTCTGAATGTTAAACTATTCAGACAAAGTTTCCCGCTGTTTGCGAAGGAATTGTTGGCTATGATGTACTGATTCATGATCAGTACATCATAGCCAACAATTCCTTATACAAAGTTCAATTTTCATATTTCATGTATGTAACTCTCTAAAACTATAAATCTGATTTTCATTTGGCAGATCCACTTCTTGTCTTTCCATTTTTTTTGAATCAATTTATACAAATAAACTTATAAAACACAAAATTATTATTTTATAATATAATTCTTAGATAATACATCCGATATGTAAAGTGTCAAAAATGAAGTGAACCGAATTTTCATGCATTACAAATTAGAATTATTTCTCTTTTATTTAAAATAAAAACTTAGTTCTATTTAAATTCGATAAAGAAGTACGAAAAAGTTGTATTATACGTATGATGTTGCGCGATGTTTGGTAACACTATTGTAGAATATAAGCATATATGATAGAAAAGCATATATGCTTAATATCGAGTAATTCTAATTTTTTACGAAATTATTCAAATACGTTATTTTTTAAAATGAAAAGATAAGCATACCATTATGCAGTAGTTTGCGCACATATACTATGCTGATGAAAGTTGGTCTCTAATTCGAAACTTGAGTCTGTCAAATTGACGTTCCATCTTATTTTAATCGATATTCAATACAAATGAATTCATATTATAATAGTATCTAGTATAACTAGGTATTCTATCACAGTATTTCTTCAATTTATTATAATATTTCAGCATTTTTTAGTTTCAATGCTGATTTGTTCCTTAGCTTGTAAACTATAGTTACTTTATATCTTCGGCTATTATCCTATTCAACTTAGACGTAAAAAAATCAAATAACGTATAAATATAATTTTAATGGTAAAAGATTAAATGTTTATTCCGTATGTAATGTGATTTGATTTGGATGGTAAGATAAGTTTCGGTATAGTTTTTGTTAATTGATTAAGAATTGTTGAATAAAATTCTGGAACTTCGTCAATTTCTTTGATTCCTTCTTGAAGCGTTGAAATTTCTTATTGACTCTCTTAGATCTTTAACAACTCCATCTACAATCCAAAGCGGTAATTTACTTGAATCATATTTTTCTGAAATTTCGTAAAATTTGTTAGGTGTGTACCATGTATGTAATGTCGGGTTTTTTGGTAAACTTGTGTGTGGGTTTGAATTGTAATTTTCTATAAGACTTTGTAAATCATTCCATGTGGCGTCTTCAATTTCCACATTTTGCCAAAACCTTTCAATTTTCCCATTCATATATGGGCAATGTGGGAGAATTGTAATACTTTGAACGTTCGCATTTTGTAATAAATTTCGAAAAAACCTAAAATTTTCTGTTCCGTTATCACTCCATATAGCAAAGGGCTTCCCATATTTTTGGAAACATTGGTCAATTACTCTACTTGTTTGCGCAGCTTCTTTTGTTTCCAAGTGAGCCCATGCTAAAATTTTTCGGGATTTATCGTCAATAACCGCATAAAGATATTCACCCTGACGATGTTTAAAAAAATGAATATCGACATGCCATATTAAGTTTATATATACTGCTTCGTATTTTGTTTTTCCTTTTGGTACTGAATTTTTGGCAGGTTGAACGATATTCAGAATTTTGAAACACTTCTTTACAGTTCTTTCTGAAAAGTTTGTTTCCAATAATTTTTGGTTAAAATAATCGGTTGATTTTTCCAAATTTTGAGTAGTTTCTGTATGAACGATATATGGATCTTCAGATAATTCCGACTCAGTTTGTGGATCTTCTTCAGAAGAATTGGAAGAAAAAAGTTTTTCTGCTGATGAATCAGAATCAGAATTTGTATACTCAGAAAGATATTCTGAAGAATTTGAAAAACCTATTGGATTTGTATTTAATTGTGAAATTGGTAAATCATCTAAATCATGATTAGCATTTTCGGTTTCCCTTTGAATTAACATATCCTTATCGGTAATAATTCTTCCGTATGCTCTTGATATTCCGATTTTTTTAACTTTTTGATGTAATTTATTTACTGTATCTAATAATTCCTCAGGTGGTTCGATTGGTTTACGCCCTGGTTTAAATTTTGTGTCAGGAATTCCATTTGATTTAATTGCTAAGTGGAATGTTTTTTTAGATATTGATGGTATAATGCGTCCATCAGTGAGTTGGACATTGCTAAGTATTGTTTTGAGTTTTTGACCTTGATTAATTTGTTCAATTGCAGATTGAATCCAATTTATATCAATTAGATCGTAGATCTTTCGACTCATCTGAAATTTTATAACTTTTGAAAGAAACCGTAAAAATTGTGAAACATGCTTTTTAATAAAAAACAATTTTGATGAAAACCATAAATTAATTTAAAATTGAAATAAATTTTTGAAATCTATGAGATTGAATAAAAAAAATTATAGTGTAGATATTGATATAGATATAGATGTTAATTTTAATATGATATTTGATAAAATTTTTTTATCAAAACATACTGATAATAGGTTGACATGTAGTATGATATTTTGCCTTGTAAATATATTTGGTCGGCAAAATAACCTAATTACTCTTATTTTGAGTTCACTTCCACCATTTCGTCTTATGATATTAATGATTGTTTATTTAAAATTTTTAAGCATGAAATTCAGAATCTTCTGAATCATTGGATTCAGAATCCAATTCATCAGAATTAGATTCCAAATAATCACCAAAGTCTCCGTCAGATGATGGATCATCAGGATCATAAGCATCTGAGTCTGATTCGGAATCATATGATGGGAAAAATATTTTTATGTGCCATTTATTTTTCAAATAATTACATAAAATATTTTTTTTAAAAAATGCAATTGATCTTTTCGAACAAGCCCATCCTCGCTTTACATTCGAAAATTACAAAATTATAAATACCAAAGGAACAGGGGCTCTTTATAAAAAGTTATCAGTGAAAAACGGAACGTTAAATGTAGAGTTTCACTTCACTTCGTATTACCCCCGGCATCATTATTTGAGACATTATCAACTCGCTCCTCGCTTGGAATATCTGTGATATTGACCCTAAGTGAAACATTTTGTTCAATTTGCTTAACTAATTTAATGATATCATCATCTTCAACTGGATTCATGTATTCGGTTGAGTCATCAATAATATTTCCTAGCTTATCTTTCTTGACTTCAGGAAGAAGAATGCAAATTGTTTCGTACCGAAATGGCTCACAAAAAAGTGACAGAAAACCTTAAATTGCGCGGCAATTTTAATTACAAAAATAAACATTAATTTTTGTGATTGATATTATGCATTTTATTTATATTATATAAGATTTAAATTTAGGGGAAAAATTGGAAAAAAATAAGATTGGAAGTCTTTAGGTAAGAAGGAAAGGGCAAGAGATATATAGTGTACCTATATACCTCTTGCCCTTTCATTCTAAGTAGAAATGGGAGAAACTTTGTCCGCATCATCAGTTATGCGGACAAAGTTTCTCCGATTTCTAATGGGAATTGCAGGCTATGAGGCACTGATATATAATCAGTACCTCATAGCCTACAATTCCCCTTATTAGACTTCCAAACTTTGAGTTAATGTCTTGACATTAACTCAAAGTTTGAAAAACTTCTCGTAAGAATCAATCGTCAAAAACCTCGATTGCAGTTATATTCATTGTGTTAAATTTGATTTATTTTGAAATTTTTATAAATTAAATTTTATATAACATAAAGCGTTATGAATTAGTATTTCCATATGAATTTTATCTCGAAAATAGTAATTCTGTACAGTTATATTTCGGTTAATTTTGGAAATTTCTAGGAATACTTTAAGATAGTATGATTATATATAACTCTGCCTTCATGATTTATTTTAGCTTTCGCGCAAATATCAGTTAACTTAACTCCATTATTTGATTTTGTGATGGCTTCACAAAGCCAATCAATATCAATCTCTTCTGGAGAATGTCTTCTCATCTAGAATATTTTCAATACTTTACATACAAACATTTTTATTTCTAAAAAACTTTTTAATTTTTTCTAGGATATATGAATGAAAATAGTTAGAACAAGATTTTGAAGCTCAAAACATTAAAAATTATTAAAGATTTGTATAATATGATTAAAAATGGGAAATAATATGAGGCAATATAAAGGAATATGAATATTAAATAAATATATCTAAATAGAAAGAATCAGAAAAATCAAATTATTGGCGCCAAAAATGTCACCTTTTTGGTGAGCCATTTCGGTATGAGATAAAGAAGAATGCAAATATTTATTGAACTGTCCATGTTCCAAATGTCTTGACCTTTAATCCAGAACAACGCAATCCAAAGTCATTCCTTGACTTTTATGGATAGTTCCTGCATAAAGAAGCTTGAATGGAATCTGATAACGATTAAATTAATTTGAATTAGAATCAACTTCAAAATGTTCCGAACCGAAATGCATCACTAGAAAAAGTGACAAAAAGTGACACTTACTCTTATTTTGCGTGGCAATTTTTCTAAGTTATTTTGTTAAGCTAAATGCGTTATATATCAAATCAGTTTTATAAATATTATAGAAAAGTTTATTTTTATTTTTAATTATTATTATTATTATTTTTTAAATTAAAAGAAAAAATTAGAATTATATGGATGTATTTAAATTAATTATAAAAATAAAATTGAATATATTGAAGTTTGAGTTTATAGGTATACAAATTTTAGAGGCATTTTGGCTGAGAACTATGGTCTGCGAGGTACATGGATAGAATCAGTACCTCGCAGACTAGAGTTCTCTATATGGCGTCGAGAAATTTTGATAAAATGTCGTCGCATTTCACCAAAAATTTTTCGGCGCCATAGGATGAATTGGAGGGTGTGAGATACTATTACATGCTATAGTACTCACACCCTCCAATTCTTAGCCAAAAAGGCTAAAAATTGCTCACAATTTCAACAATTGTGAGCAATTTTAGAGGCTTTTTGGCTGAGAACTATGGTCTGCGAGGTACATGGATAGAATCAGTACCTCGCAGACTATAGTTCTCTATATGGCGCCCAAAAATTTATGATTGTTTTTTATCAAATCTTATCCATATTATTCTATTAATGTTAATTATATTTTATCAATGATATTTTTTAAATAATAAACACAAAATCCACTAATTTAAAATTGGCGCCAAATGTCACTGTTGCTAGTGATGCATTTCGGTATGATATAGAATCAACTTCAAAATTCTCTTTTGGTTAAAGAAATTATTTTACAACTCTTTGGATTACCCAACATCTTCTATTCTTCACAATTCCTTATTTTGTTTTCAGATTAAGCATTATTGTCATTGGTTCACCATAGTTAATGTCAACAGATTGATCTGGAATACACGGAAATTTCCAATTATTAGCAAAATCCATTTGTTGCGGTTTTGTTGGCTGGTTATCAGGTGAAGTTTCAGGAACTACCTCAATCAAGGCATAATGCATGAAATAGGATTTGAGGTCACTTTTGACACTTTACAATTTGTAAATATTTAAAAAATATAATAAATATGATAAATATAATATTATAAATATAATTATATTAATTATAAACTAAATTGGCTAAAAATTGGATGCAATTGATGAAATTGCATCGAATTGTTAGCCATTTAGGCTAGAAATTGGAGAGTGTGAGTATTATTGTACGTAATAGTATCTCACACCCTCCAATTCATCCTATGGTGCCGAAAAATTTCTGGTAAAATGCGAGGATATTTCACCAAAAATTTTCAGGGCCATAGTTTTCAGCCAAAAAACCAATTTAAAATCTGACATTTAAACCTTATTTTGTCATGTAACCCCGTCACTTTTTGTCAAAAGTGAAGTCAACATCTTAATGGGGACAATTTTTTATCATAAAGCAGCAAGAAGTAATACAGAATGAATAAAGACAGCTAGAAGAATATACCATTAATAACTTAGCTTTCTTTCGAATTTTTTTAATAAAAATATAGTCTAAAGATAAAGAGAAGAATATATCATACGGAAAAGGTTCCTTAGAAAAAGTGACATTTGGCGCCAAATTTAAAAAGTAATAAAATCATTATTTTATAAAAAGATGTTATATATGAAAACGATAAAAACGGTTTGCCAGAAAAGTGACAACTTTACATGTCAAAATATAAAAAGTGACATTTTATTCATCATTATCTTCTTCATAATTTATTTCATATTCTCTTCATATCCACCTTCATATTCTTCACTTTGTTCCTCCTTCTCTTTTTTACCATCTTTATTATCGATTTCTTCTTCCTCATCTTGGAGTTCTGGTATTTCTCTAGCCTGTACTGATCCTGAGAGAAAGTCTTGGGTAACTCCAGAGTGTGGTAGAATTTACGAAAAAGTGACACTTAACCTTAAATTTCCAAACACTATTTTTTGATTGTATTTATATATTTATATATATATAAATATATTTATATATATGTATATATTTATATATGTATATATTTATATATGTATATATTTATATATGTATATATTTATATATGTATATATTTATATATGTATATATTTATATATGTATATATTTATATATGTATATATTTATATATGTATATATTTATATATGTATATATTTATATATGTATATATTTATATATGTATATATTTATATATGTATATATTTATATATGTATATATTTATATATGTATATATTTATATATGTATATATTTATATATGTATATATTTATATATGTATATATTATATATGTATATATTTATTAGAAACTGCTTCATGCTATGTTGAGTATTGTTGAATTGGAAACTGCTTCATGCTGCATTGAGTATTGTTGAATAATTTGAAGTAGTGGTTTTTGAAATCAGCACCCCTATGAGAGCGCTGGCGACCGAGAACACCACTAGTAAGATTGTGTATTAGAAACTGCTTCATGCTGTGTTGAGTAAGCTTCGATATCTTTATCAGACCACCTTTAAATTAACCACTCACATTCTCACCGTGGTCCATCTAAAATTGTAAACTTTATGACATAAAATATATATTATATGCAGGATCCCACCTATTACTTAATCTTTTTGGAATAAATGTTTTATAATATTTATCGATTGATTGTAATTTTTTGTATAAAAAAGTTTTTTATTTATATTAAAAATATATTTTGTTAATGATATTATCTTATAATTTGTAAATAAATCTAGTAATAAAATAACTTTAATAGTTGGTGTCACTTTTTCAAAAATTCTGGTTTTTTCGGTAACTCCATCAACGACCCATTTGGCAGGCATTCCTGGTCTCCAAATGGGCCCCTTCATCCATAATTCATTTGGACTATAATTGATTTTCCTTCCATTGAGAAGACGTGTCGGTAGTGCGGCATGGGGCTTGGATTTATAGGAATTGACCCAACTCTGAATTTTACTCCATGTTAGATTGCGGTTTTCTATATTGGGCCACAATCGCTCAATCTTACCGTTTTGGTAAGGGCAATGTGGCACAATATAGACATTTCGAATTCCTTTGCATCTCATCGCTTGTAGGAATTCACCTCTATTCTCTCCTCCATTATCAGACCATATGGTATGAGGGGGACCAAAACGTTTTATGGCCCGCTCAATTACCTTAACGGTCTGATTTGCATGTTTGGAGGAGAGATGCTGCCACTCCAAAACCATTCTGGTACAATCATCTATTACTCCATACAATAATTCACTTCTGCGTTTATTGAGAAAGTGAATGTCAACGTGCCAGATTTGATTTGGAAGTAAAGCCTCGTATCTTGTCCTCACTTTAGGTCTCTTGGGTCCCCGTGGACGTGTTAATCCAAGAATGATAAAAGCCTTTTCGACCATATGCCTTGATGGAGCCTGAGGTAGAGGGAGAGGAAGATATTTGATATTTTGTAAATTTATAGCATATGGAGTAGGGTTATCATCTTGATTAATGTCAGCGGGGATTTCTTTAGAGATAAGATTGAGAGGCTTGTCACGTCGCACATTCTGAAACCAGTCCTGTGTTGAGCTCATAACTCGAAGTAGGCCATCTTTCATTCGAACAAAATCTTGTTCATGCTCATGGGCGAATGCTATATCTTTATTAAGCCTAAGGTAAGTGGGGATGATAGCATGTCGCCCATGTTGTTCGAATAAATTGAGAATGGCCTGCATGAGATCATCAGGAACTGGTTGTTTGGGTCTACCACAGGAAAGTGGAATATCAACAAACTGGTCGTGCGGACGAGATTGAGAATTAGGAGGATTGGCACGTTGACTTGATTGATCGGAACTGATGTGATTAGGAGCAATTTGATTGTATGTACCAGATGATTGGTTTGAAGGAGTGGCTTGAGGATTTAACTGTTGTGCACTACTAAGAGGAGATGCACCATTGCTGGGTCTGAGCTGTTGTTGTGCACTGTTGTGCATGAAAAATAGCGTAACTTCACTTTTGACAAAACTGACACTATTTCTGACGGTTTTGTCATTTATTTGTCAGATTTATAAATGGATTGTTGTAAACAGAAATTCATCAAAAGTGACACCTCAGAAAAGCTATAATATTGAATTTTTGGAACTTTTGATAGAGCACGTTTTTAAATATTAATTAAAGTAAATGTATATTTTGTAAAGATTCTTTTTAATAAAAAATAAAATTTTGAAGAAGAACACAAAATCTTCTGAAAAATAATATCACATAAACTCATATTATTTTCTAATATATAACTATTTTATATAAAAATCAAATTCAATGATCTTAAAAGCGAATGATAAACCTCAAAATTTACGAATATAATGAGTGGGAATATAATGCTTATCTATCATAAAACCATATGAAATATCAATTTTTGCTTTACGCCTAATTTTTGACGACAATTAGCAAAAAATGTTAAATGTTAACACTCAGTCCATTTGAATATGAAAAATAAAATTGACTTTGATTAAATGTTTTTATTTATCATGCAATTCTTCTTGCGACCAAAGAGTTGAATAAAAGTTCAAAAAATAAGATAGCTTAAAAAATAATATACGGTAGTGTTTACTAATAGATGAATAGTATATAAATTCTATTAAAATGGATTTGATCCAAAAAAATATAAAACCAAAAATAATTGTTATAATTTAAATGAGGAAGTAATTTAAAACGATTTTATTTATGATCAAATTTTATATATTTTTTTGGATCAAATCCATTTCAATAGAATTTATATACTATTCATCTATTAGTAAACACTACCGTATATTATTTTTTAAGCTATCTTTTTTTGAAATTTTATTCAAATCTTTGGTCGCAAGAAGAATTGCATGATAAATAAAAACATTTAATCAAAGTCAATTTTATTTTTCATATTCAAATGGACTGAGTGTTAACATTTAACATTTTTTGCTAATTGTCGTCAAAAAATTAGGCGTAAAGCAAAAATTGATATTTCATATGGTTTTATGATAGATAAGCATTATATTCCCACTCATTATATTCGTAAATTTTGAGGTTTATCCTTCGCTTTTAAGATCATTGAATTTGATTTTTATATAAAATAGTTATATATTAGAAAATAATATGAGTTTATGTGATATTATTTTTCAGAAGATTTCATTCTATATGCCTATGAAAAGTACTCTCAAAACTAACTTTTTCCTAATTATAATTAAATCTAGAATATTGTATTATGCTTAGTATTATTTCATTTTTCTCATTCAATTTAGAATTTACAAATGTCAAAAAATCGAGAGCTGTCACTTTTGATGAATTTCTGTTTATTACAGGATAATAATGCTGTAAATCAGATATTAATTAAAAATATTTAAGATTTATGTTCGAATTGAAAAGCAAAATGATATTTTTTCAATTGAAAAACGTTAATATCTGATATTTTGAAGTTTTTAATATTTGTTAGTATCTTAAATTATTGAATGCATACGTTTTTTATGTTCTCAATTTTAAAAAAATTGTGAAGAATTTAGTTTTTTGGAGATGGATGTTTAATATTTGTGAGTGAGAATGCAAGCAGGAGTTTGGTACTTTAAGGCTAGGTTGAGATAGATTTCCCATTATATTATCTGTGAATATATTGTTTGAAAATTCAAGATATAAAAATATATTATCAAAAAATTTTATATTTTTAAATACAATAGGGTGGAAGTATAGTACGATGAGATAGCAATGATATATTTTATAATGGGAGGTAATCTGAAGATAAGTAGCAAATTTTATGCGATTTTGATTGGGAGTTGGAGGGTGTGAGTACTATAGCATGTAATAGTATCTCACACCCTCCAATTCTTCCTATGGCGCCGAAAAAATTTTGGTGAAATGCGACGACATTTCACCAAAAATTTTCGGCGCCATATAGAGAACTATAGTCTGCGAGGTACTGATTCTATCTATGTACCTCGCAGACCATAGTTCTCAGCCAAAATGTCAAAAATTTCGGAAATTCGAAATAATTTTTTTTAGAAAAAATTAACCGTTTAACATTGCCAAAAATCTAAAAATCTCACAATTTTTTTTAAATTGATAACCCTCAAACCGTTTCCAATCAATAATTTGAGAGTCTATATGATAATGTAAAAGTTAAAACATTCAAGTATTTAAGTATTTCTTTAAAATATTAAGTTTTTTAGGGAACAGGACAAATTTGCCACACGGCACTTTTTTTAAAAAATTTAATGGAGCGGAGCGATACTCTGCTGCAGGAGCCCAAGGCTCCCAATCATTACGAAAGGGAGCCTCAGGGCTCCTGAGAATCCATCAGCAGAGGCCTTTTCATTTGGCCTCTGCTGATCAAAGATTCGGCGAAGCCATTCTTCGTCTCAGGAGCCCCAAGGCTCCCAATCATTACGAAAGGGAGCCTCAGGGCTCCTGAGAAACCTCTTTGAGAAGGTTTTCTTAAGAAAACCTTCTCAAAGATGATTGTCAGCATTCACTCAAAATCTACCAAGAGTTTCAAAGTTTCAAATCTATCTGAAATGAAGCTTTGAATCTCTTGTATATCTAATTGTAGAGGTACCTTTTCAAAATGTCTTCTATTGATTAAATTTAATCAGTAAAAGTCATTTTGAAAAGGTACATCTCTATAATTGCTATTGAGCATTCACTCTTGGAACCTTGGAGCTCTTGTGTAGTGCATGAAAACTCCAAGATTCTAGCATAAAACATATATCATAGACATAATTTCTTCAAATATGATTTAAAGTTATTTTTTAAAAAAATTAGAAAAGCGTAATTTAAGGTTATTGAAAAAGTGACACCTGACAAATTTGTCCCGCACTCAGTTTTTTATTTTTCCAATAAAATTCTAATATCAAATATTTTTATTTAACGATTAATTTTATTTATATTTTTATAGTTTTTTTAAGAAAAAATATTGTTAGGGTTTTATGGATTTTCAATTAATATACAAGATAATTCATGAATGTATATATTTCCAAGTTTTTAAGGATGCAACACTTTACATTTGTAAACTGTCAAAAATGAAGTCACGCTATTTTTCATGCATTACAGCTGTTGTTGTGCACTATTAAGAGAAGATGTACCATTGCTGGGTCTGAGCTGTTGTTGTGCACTATTAAGAGAAGATGCACCATTGCTGGGTCTGAGCTGTTGTTGTGCACTATTAAGAGAAGATGCACCATTGCTGGGTCTGAGCTGTTGTTGTGCACTACTAAGAGGAGATGTACCATTGCTGGGTCTGAGCTGTTGTTGTGCACTACTAAGAGGAGATGCACCATTGCTGGGTCTGAGCTGTTGTTGTGCACTATTAAGAGAAGATGTACCATTGCTGTTGCTGCTTTGTTGCAGTGGACTATTAAGAGAAGATGTACCATTGCTGGGTCTGAGCTGTTGTTGTGCACTATTAAGAGAAGATGTACCATTGCTGGGTCTGAGCTGTTGTTGTGCACTACTAAGAGGAGATGTACCATTGCTGGGTCTGAGCTGTTGTTGTGCACTATTAAGAGAAGATGCACCATTGCTGGGTCTGAGCTGTTGTTGTGCACTACTAAGAGGAGATGTACCATTGCTGGGTCTGAGCTGTTGTTGTGCACTACTAAGAGGAGATGTACCATTGCTGGGTCTGAGCTGTTGTTGTGCACTACTAAGAGGAGATGCACCATTGCTGGGTCTGAGCTGTTGTTGTGCACTATTAAGAGAAGATGTACCATTGCTGTTGCTGCTTTGTTGCAGTGGACTATTAAGAGGAGATGTACCATTGCTGGGTCTGAGCTGTTGTTGTGCACTACTAAGAGGAGATGTACCATTGCTGGGTCTGAGCTGTTGTTGTGCACTACTAAGAGGAGATGTACCATTGCTGGGTCTGAGCTGTTGTTGTGCACTATTAAGAGAAGATGCACCATTGCTGGGTCTGAGCTGTTGTTGTGCACTATTAAGAGAAGATGTACCATTGCTGGGTCTGAGCTGTTGTTGTGCACTACTAAGAGGAGATGTACCATTGCTGGGTCTGAGCTGTTGTTGTGCGCTATTACGAGGAGTAGAGCCATTACTCTGTGTAATTTCTTGTTCTTCCAAGTATCGATTCAACAAGATCTCATCTTTTGTTGGTAAGACTTCAATGCAATTGTAGAATTTTCCATTATGGAATATGTATAAATCTTATATACGAAAAAAAGAGATCTGACATTGTGTCAGATCTCAGTAAAAGTGACATTTACATGTCAAAAAAATAGAATGAGTTTAAATAATTAAAATTGAGGGTGAGAGTAGTATTGTATGAAATAATATCTCTCACCCTCCAATTCATCCTATGGCGCCGAAAAAATTTTGGTGAAATGCGACCACATTTCACCAAAATTTCTCGGCGCCATATAGAGAACTAGAGCCTGTGAGGTACTGATACTATCCATGTACCTCGCAGGCTCTAGTTCCAAGCCAAAATGGCTAAAAATTGCCCGCAATTGTTCACATTGCGGGCAATTTTTAGCCATTTTGGCTGGGAATTGGAGGGTGAGAGTAGTATTGTATGAAATAATATCTCTCACCCTCCAATTCATCCTATGGCGCCGAAAAAATTTTGGTGAAATGCGACCACATTTCACCAAAATTTCTCGGCGCCATATAGAGAACTAGAGCCTGTGAGGTACTGATACTATCCATGTACCTCGCAGGCTCTAGTTCCAAGCCAAAATGGCTAAAAATTGCCCGCAATTGTTCACATTGCGGGCAATTTTTAGCCATTTTGGCTGGGAATTGGAGGGTGAGAGTAGTATTGTATGAAATAATATCTCTCACCCTCCAATTCATCCTATGGCGCCGAAAAAATTTTGGTGAAATGCGACCACATTTCACCAAAATTTCTCGGCGCCATATAGAGAACTAGAGCCTGTGAGGTACTGATACTATCCATGTACCTCGCAGGCTCTAGTTCCAAGCCAAAATGGCTAAAAATTGCCCGCAATTGTTCACATTGCGGGCAATTTTTAGCCATTTTGGCTGGGAATTGGAGGGTGAGAGTAGTATTGTATGAAATAATATCTCTCACCTCCAATTCATCCTATGGCGCCGAAAAAATTTTGGTGAAATGCGACCACATTTCACCAAAATTTCTCGGCGCCATATAGAGAACTAGAGCCTGTGAGGTACTGATACTATCCATGTACCTCGCAGGCTCTAGTTCCAAGCCAAAATGGCTAAAAATTGCCCGCAATTGTTCACATTCCCATCTTTTGTTGGTAAGACGAAGAATATGAAATAAATTATGAAGAAGATAATGATGAATAAAATATCACTTTTTATATTTTTGACACGTAAAGTTGTCACTTTTCTGTCAAACTGTTTTTATCGTTTTCGTATATAACATAAACTTGTAAATTCTCTGGACGAGTGCTTGTAAAACTCTTCGATAGTAATAAGACGAAAGCACAGAAGGCTTTTGTAGTAAGTTAACTTGTTAATGCAATTACGTGATGTACCATCGCTGAGTGGAACATTAGTCAATAGCAACGATAGCTTTTGATGTTGGTGTAACCTGGTTAGAGATTGCTCTAGCCAGTGAAAGTCTATTTGGGTATAAATATCCAAGAGAATGAATTTTGAATAAATAATAAATTGTGAACAATTGAATAAAATATAGAAAATATAAATAATTTTGAAAGATATTATTGAAAAAATATTTTTCACAAAAGTTGAATTCAAATTGTAATTTTTTTAAAAAAAAATCTTTAAAGTGAAGAAAACAAAATTGGACAATGAGAAAACAACAATGAACTAAAAATTAGTGAATAACTACAATGGCGAAATTAAAATTACGATCAGAATAATTTTTATAAAAGAATGTGTTAGAAATTAGTAACGATTAAGATAAAATAAAAATTTGGGGAACGAGAAAAGTGATTGAATATTGGTAAACATGAATTTTTATTGAAAAATAAAACGAGATTAAGATTCTAAGTAGAAATTTTTAAAAATTAGAAAAATAAAAAACAATAAAGATAATAAAAAATTTGAAACTAAAAAAAATCGAAAAATAATGATAAAATAAATGAATAGTTGAAGACAAATAAAAATAAAATGTTATCAATAAGAAAATAATTTGAATAGGTTTCAATATAGATTGATCAATTTATGAATGGGAATCCAAAATTAGAACAGCCGAATTGGTATATTGATAACAAATGATATTATGTTACTAATAAGGTATAAATGTTTTGAATGTAATTCAAATTAATTTTGAATATGAAATTGAATAAGATTGAAAAATTAAATATATAGAATTTTGAATGAGTTTCCGTTGAAATGAATGTTATGGAAATGTAGAAAATATTAGCCTTTGGATGAATTGGAGGGTGAGAGATATTATTTCATACAATACTACTCTCACCCTCCAATTCTCAGCCAAAATGGCTAAAAATTGCCCGCAATGTGAACAATTGCGGGCAATTTTTAGCCATTTTGGCTTGGAACTAGAGCCTGGGAGGTACATGGATAGTATCAGTACCTCACAGGCTCTAGTTCTCTATATGGCGCCGAGAAATTTTGGTGAAATGTGGTCGCATTTCACCAAAATTTTTTTCGGCGCCATAGGATGAATTGGAGGGTGAGAGATATTATTTCATACAATACTACTCTCACCCTCAATTTTAATTATTTAAACTCATTCTATTTTTTGACAGGTAAATGTCACTTTTACTGAGATCTGACACAATGTCAGATCTCTTTTTTTCGTATATAAGAAAGGTATATTATTATAAATGTATATTTAATATTAAATCAAAAAAATTTAAGTTTTTACATTTAAATTTAACATTTAAATAAAATAAATAAAATTGATAGAATTGAAGGGTGGGAGGCATATAGGCATACTATATACCTCTCACCCTTCAATTCCTACCAGAAAGTTGGAAAACTTGGTCGCAATCAGATGCAATTGCGACCAAGTTTTCGAACTTTCTCGAGGGAATGGAAGCCTACAATGCACTGATTATGTATCAGTGCCTGGTAGGCTCCCATTCCCCCTCTAAATGGGAGCAACTTTGCTTGCATAAGATAAAATCCAAACAAAGTTTCTCCTATTTAGAGTTGGAATTGAAGGGTAAGAGGCATATAGGCATACTATATACCTCTCACCCTTCAATTCCAAATAAAACACATCTAAAACAATCATTTTGAATTCTTTTCCCCCAAATGAACCTTTTTTTAATTATTTAATGAATAAAAATTTGTTGTGCATGAAAATTCGGTTCACTTCACTTCTGACAAAAGTGACAAGTTTACATGGCAAAAATATATAGGGTATTTTTTTTAAAAGTAGTTATCTTTATATATAAAAATAAAACTTTTGATATATTTGAGTAAATGATTTATTAATTTATTTATTTATTTTTTTTAAATCAAATCATATAAATATATATATATATAATAGTGAAATAGAACAAGAGATAATTATTGATGATTAAATTGTAGACGAGGATAAAAGTTTAGATAAATTAATAAAATTAGTGTGGAATCAGACAAATTTCGGGTTGTTTGGGAAGGAATTGTTGGCTATGATGTACTGATTCATGATCAGTACATCATAGCCAACAATTCCTTATACAAAGTTCAAAAACTTGGGTGCAATCAGTTCTGATTGCACCCAAGTTTTTGAACTTTCTCGAGGGAATGGAAGGGTAAGAGGTATACATTATGAATATATACCTCTTACCCTTCCATTCCCTCTCTGACAGCGGGAAACTTTGTCTGAATGTTAAACTATTCAGACAAAGTTTCCCGCTATTTGGGAAGGAATTGTTGGCTATGATGTACTGATTCATGATCAGTACATCATAGCCAACAATTCCTTATACAAAGTTCAAAAACTTGGGTGCAATCAGAACTGATTGCACCCAAGTTTTTGAACTTTCCATTAACAATTGTTCAATCACATTTATACAACCCAAATCTATACCAATCATACTCTTATTCATACATCATATTTTAAAACTTTTTTGCAATATGATGTTATTGCAACAAATTTTTTTCTTTTCTACTTCCAATTAGCACCTTAAAAACATTAGACACAATCACTGGCTCATATGCTCCTATTCTGAATCTAACACTATGCAAATTTATACAATTTCTCCACAAATCTTACATTCTTTTAATTTCAACGACCATTATTACCACAAAGAATCTTACCTTCCCCTACAAAATCTAACTATCTATCAATTTAAAAAATGTTACAAAATATTAAATGAATTTTTTTTCTATACGTAATTTAAAGTTCTTAAACTCTCAGCATCAGAATATCCTTACATAGCTTAGCTATATATCGTATTACTTTATGAATAAAAAAATTATTTAAATTATAATAAAATGTTTATTCGTATTTTTACTTTATTTTTAGTTACGAGGCTGTATTTCGAACTCAGGATTTGGGTTTAAGTCCTTTGTCCATTTAGGACCCTGGTCCCAAATTGATTTTGGAGTAGGTTTTCCACCGAAAAGATCTTTAAGAGCTGTATGAACCCATACTGTGTTGTATTCTTCTATTGCGTGAGGTAAAAATTCTCTTATTTCGATAAAATCTGGGCGAGCCGAAAAGATTGTTTGCCAAAAACGTTGTATTTTACCATTTAACTGTGGTGTGTAAGGTTCTATCCGATGGTGTTGAATGCCATTTACTTGAAGAACGTTTTTGAAGTCCTTTCCTGTAAATTCGCATAGATCCACTTCTTGTCTTTCCATTTTTTTGAATCAATTTATACAAATAAACTTATAAAACACAAAATTATTATTTTATAATATAATTCTTAGATAATACATCCGATATGTAAAGTGTCAAAAATGAAGTGAACCGAATTTTCATGCATTACAAATGAATAAAAATTAATATAATCCCTCACATATTATAAATAATTTATTAAAAAACCTTTCCAATTTTGCCGCGAAAAATAAGAGTAAGTATCACTTTTTCTAAGGAACCTTTTCCGTACGGAACAAGATAAAGAGAAGAAAAAGGGAAAAAGGACATATTACAAATAAGGAGTGTATCATTTTTTAGCCCCTACGGTGACACGGTAAATTTTTTTTTCAAACTTTGGAAGCCCTAAAAATGGCCGAATATATAGATCGTTCAATATATGTATATAATAAATACAAAAAATTACCATGAAAGTATGGTGCGAAGTTCTAAAATTTCCACAACTAGTTTGCATTTTGAAAAATTTTAGCTCTGTTGAAGTGGGTATTACATATCCTTCAAAAGAAATACTGCACAATTTGCTTCGAGTAAACAAGATATTATTAATATCTTTCGCATTTGAAATTATCAAGAATGGATCTCCTCGTAGGAAACGGAGATAATGAATCTAATATTAATGCAAGTTCATAAATTTGTTTGTGAAAAATGTAAGAACATTTACAATTTATAGGCATTGTAGCTCAAAACAGATTCTGGGTTGACACCTGTAATTTCCTTATACTGCATATTACTAATCATATAACTATCGAGTACACTTGAAAATCTGCGGCACTTTTTAAGAAAATTCTCAATTTTTTACAGATTTTCAGGAACCCTATTCTAAAATTCAGGAATAATGTGTTTGATACGATGAAACTAAGATTTATTATGATCTTGTAGCACCACTATAATGCGCATAAGAATAGGAAAAGAGTGAAAACATCAAATGGTTAATTTCATATTTTTTTGTGTAATTTGTTCCTTGATCACCAGTTGCTTCTTTATTAGCTCCAATAGAGATAAGATATATATGTTTCATCTACCTTCTCGACTTACTTTCTACAAAGAAGAAAAAGAAAAGTGCTTCATCTAAAGATCCATCACCAAGAAACACGTTGTCATCTGTTTTATCTGGTTTTCGTTCATTAATAACGAAATTTTCATTGGTTCCAATGATATCATTAACTGAAAACGACATTTCTCAGGGAGAAAATCAAAGGGGAGGTGAGAAACATCCAGCTAATGATAAAGATTGTGAGAAAAAAGACATGGAAAATTCGATAAATTATATTATTAATAAATAGTGTTTTTATTTATTTGAATAATTTTTAAAGTTAAAATGTTGTGATTGAGAAAATAAGGAATAATAAATTTAAAGAAAAAAATAAATTAATATTAAAAAAAGTAAATGGGAGAAAAAGTCAGGGAGGGAGAGATAATATGTTATTATTAATTGTAGAACTATGATTGAAAAGATCTAAAAAAGCACATGTGCTGGCAATAAGATTGTTATTGTCCCAGAAAGACCGGGAAGGGGTTCCTTTCTCGAGGTCAGGGCCCCCTTCCAGGAAGATCAAGAGATTGCGAGAAAGTCACGACAGCTCCATTATTGATTCCACATTCATATTTCAACACATATTCATAAAAAATGTAATTATACTTCCGTAACAAATGCTTATATATTTAAATTTCTCACTGGTAAAAAATCGATAGGTTAACTAAATTTTTATGACATATCGTTTTTTTACCAGGAACATTTGGTATATCATAGGTCAATATCAAAATTTGATTTTTTCGCATTAAATCAATTTTAATTCTCGTGTTATATATAATATTATCATAAGACGAAATGAATCAAGTGAACTAATATGAAAAGTGACAAAGGATATTTGACGACCAAATAAATTTACAAAGGCAAAAATTAACAGTACTTGGCAACCTATCCTTATATATTTTCCTAATTAAAAATATTTTTTTAATTAAAATGTTTCCAGAGATATAGGATTATCAAAATATATTAATTAAAACATCTTTATTTTGAAAACAATTCAAAACATATTTTTTTCTAAAATTTATATAATCTTAAAGTCAAAACGCAAATAAATTAGTTCAAATTTCATAAATAAATTTATATTCAATGAATTACATTTTAAAAGTATTCTTTAATACTATACAAGCTTACTCATTATCAAATTTCTCTCATATAAAAATAGTGATTCACAATTTTATTGCGGTTTGTTTCAAAAGTTCAAAAAATTAATGAATAAGAAAATATTCGATCAAATAAATTTACATTGGCTAAATCGAGCTATTGAACAAATAAATAGAGTATGCGAAATAAGTTGTAAACAACGAAAAAAGTTGTAAACACCGAAATGTGATCAAGATATTTGGTATATTGTATGATATAAAATTAACTGCCTGATGTCAAGAATCGTTTGATTCCGTATCAATTCCAAACCTCCAACTTATGCGAAATTCGCATCAAATCTACCCAAAATTTTGTTTGTTTGAAAATATTATACAAATAATTAAACTATTTAGCTGTATATATATATGATTTTTAATATTATTTATAAAACATATCCATTATAATTTGTATTTCATTTTTAATTTCCAAAATTTAGATGTAAATATTGAAAATTAAATTTATTATTATCATATCTATCATTATTAATTAAAATTGTTTTAAAAAATGAAAATGTCGTTTAAAATTTGCTTTTTGTTTATTTTTTCCATTTTTCATTTGCTAAATGTCTGGAGTTAGACCACCAAGGCTCCAGTAAAACATCAAAATCTCTTTATTGACCCTGAAAAATCAGCAAGTTATAAAGAGTTTTGGGATGAACACCCAGTTTCTATCGATGAAACACCAGAATGTCTCGAAGAAGTACAAAGGAAGCTAGGTCCTATTCCACAAATGGCTCCAACCGAGTTGGAACAAGTGTTAGCTACTCTTGAAGATGAGGGAGAGGATTATGAATACAATGCACTTGCAGAAACTGATGAATCATCAGAAAGTGATACAGAATCTTTGATGGATTCATTAACAGATTCTTCAGATGAAGAAGATGAGAACAATAATGATCCAGACTACCAGGCTGATGATGAGCGAACACCTCCAGCTCACTCTACAGACACTGATGAAGGTACTGGTGTATATCATCAACGAAGAACCGGAAATACAACATTTTTCTACGAAAATATCAAACATAAGCAATCACGAGATGCAATTCAGCAATTCCACGACGAATTACTAGAACTTCCAACCTTAAGAGAGCAGGACGTGTTCTTTATTAACAAGTTTAAAGAGCTAAAATTACCTATTACTTGGGAAGAAACTGTAAAAGTTTTCAATACAAATAAGGGTGCACTCCATAATCATTATACAAGAGGAATCGAAATTAAAGAATGCCATAGACCATCATCACTTACAGAATTGCAAAAGGAAGAAGTCTTTGAGTGGATTTTACAAAGATTTAATGAACGAAAACCTGTTTCATATGATGATATTGCTGTTTTCGTTCAAAAAAAACTTTGAATTCTTCCTTGCAAAAGATGCAATAAGGATGATGATAAAAAAGTCAAAACATTTCAAAGTTATAAAAGGTATTCCATGCGAAGAAGAGCGTGTTCAAGCAGATCTAGACTTAATAGATGAATACTTTGACAAATTGGAACAAATTGTTCCTGAGATTTCTCCTCAATTTGTTGCAAATGTTGACGAAATTTGTCATCAAGCATGGCAAGATGCAATTATCAAAAAAAGTTGTTGTTCCTGCATCTTATTCATCTGATACTATTTCAGTTCCCGTATCTAGAACTGAAAAAAGATCATCAGCTGTTGCAGGCATCTTCTGATTCCTCTACAGATTCCTCCTTATTACTCTACATTCCTCCTATTCCTCCTTACTCCTCCTGATTCCTCCTTACTCCTCCTTATTACTCTACATTCCTCCTTACTCCTCCTTATTACTCTACATTCCTCCTGATTCCTTTACAGATTCCTCCTTACTCCTCCAGATCCCTCCTTATTACTCTATATTCCTCCTGATTCCTCCTTACTCCTCCTTATTACTCTACATTTCTCCTGATTCCTCCTATTCCTCCTATTCCTCCTGATTCCTCCTATTCCTCCTATTCCTCCTGATTCCTCTACAGATTCCTCCTTACTCCTCCTGATCCCTCCTTATTACTCTATATTCCTCCTTATTACTCTACATTTCTCCTTACTCATCCTGATTCCTCCTTGCTCCTACCCAGACTCCTCAGCTTACTCAAATTACTACTCAATCCTCCTCATACTCCACAATTACTACTCATTTCTCCTTAGATATGTATATTGAATAAACTATCATAGTCTTTGCAATTGTTTATCTTTATTATTTTTATATTTTTATCTTAATTAAAATTAATTTTAAAATTATTTTCTAATTTTTGAAATTTTACAAAGAAAAATAAAAGAAATAAGAAGAAAAAGGAAGAGAGGGGAAAAAAGGGCGGCGTTGATTTTTGTATGATTTTGTCTGATGGCCGAAAGTTGTTGTTCCTGCTTAAATATTTAAAAATAAACGGTCATTGCGTAAAACCGTCGCATGGCTACTTCTCGTGCGAGCATTTTAATATAATACTCTGGTACCTATTGGTACCAGAGTTGACCTTACAGCCCTTTCCTCATTTTTTGATTTAGGGAAAGTTTCCGAGCCTTGAGAGGAAATTCTCGCTCTGAGGTGCAAATCTAGAATTTGTGCCTCAGAGCGAGTAGTCCTCACATCAAGTCTCGGAAACTTTTCTCAAATTCGAAAAAAATTTAAGGAAAGTTTCCTTGTTTTAAAGTGGGAATAGAGCCTTTTGAGGCACTATATATGAATCAGTGCCTCAAAAGGTTCTATTCCCACTAAAATTGCCAAAACTTGCGTCTGATTGTTTGCAATCAGACGCAAGTTTTGGCATGTTAAAGAGGGAATTGTTCCCTCTAATGCATATATTAAGAATAGCGACTTATCAATTTCAAGCTCATCAGAACTCTCGTAAACGAAAAAGGGGATTTGACGGAGTCAAATCCCCGCTCACAAAAAGTGGACTTTACATGTCAAATTTTATATGCATGTAATGTCCACTTTTTCCTTCAAAAAATGGGAGAAACTTTGTCCGAATAGTTTAACATTCGGACAAAGTTTCTCCCATTTTAAGAAGGAATTGGAGGGTAAGAGATATACCATATGAATGTATATCTCTTACCCTCCAATTCCTTCCAGAAAGTGTCCAAACTTTGGGTTAATTGCAAACTATTAACCCAAAGTTTGGACACTTTCAAGTGGAGATGGAAGGCTTTGGGGCATATATTAATACAATATACCTCAAAGCCTTCCATCTCCACTACAAATGGGAGAAACTTTGTCCGAATAGTTTAACATTCGGACAAAGTTTCTCCCATCTTTCAATGTAATTGCAACCTGTGAGGTACTGACTTGAAGTCAGTGCTTCACAGGTAGCTATGGCATTCCAAACGGGAACCGCGGTTGGTTACCATGGATTTCCGTCACCGGTCACATTTTAAAGATTTTTTAAGCCTTATAAAAATATGCTTTGTAAATCATTTTTTGTAAATCGGCAAAAATTTGGTAATTTTCTTCAACTAATAAATCTGCGAATAGCATTTATAATACAAGAACAATCTTTTAAAATGCGTTTGATTCATTTTTGTATAATTTCATATAGGCACATATATTCTTCCGGGACTTTCCGTGATTTTACCGTAAAATCATTAGTTTACACCAATTTTTCCGTATTTTGAATAGTTTACTGCACTTTTTCCGTAAAATTGAGTTACGGGAATCCGCAAAATTTCCGGACCTCATTTTTCATAGAATAATAATAATATTTGATAAAAAGATATATTATTTATATTTTTGATTTTTGAATTACGGAAAAAGTGAATTGATAACTTGATTTTTTTATATGGTTAATTTTTCAAATGATATTATGAAGATCTAAAATATTAAAAGTAAAAAATTGAATTACGGAAAAAGTGAGGTCAAAAGTGAAATAAATTTGCAGAACAATTTTCATTGAAATAAGCTTTATTTTTCATTATTAATAACAATGCAAAAAAATATTTATCACGGGTTCAAAATTTAAAATTAAATATTTTAATAATTTACATCTTATTCTTTATTTTATATTTAACCCGTGAAAATATCATTTAAAAATTGAATATATTCAAAAAGCTTTAATTTTATTATGACTGCATGGGATCCTCATGTATATGATGAGTGGATTCCATTTAAGAAGACGAAATATCCACCAACTCCTGAAACATTGGAAACAAAGTGTGGAAAAAATGTTTCACTACGATCGGCTATTATGAGAATGAGCCTAATCAATCAGACAAAGGAAGGCTCTTTACATACTGTGCCGAATGTAGTGAAACATTAGTTCAAGGGCAGTTCGTGCGATGCATTAAAAAAAGCAGGAAAAATGATTTTAAAGATCATAAGTGCAAATTTTTACTCCCAATGCCCAACTACGTTCCTGCTGAGCACCAAGTTGAGAATACTCAGCAAGCAGTTGGCTCTGGTAATGATCCTTCGTTAGAAGAGATCATTGCCAGGCTTATTGCGAGCCTAGATATAAGCCTTTATGCCACAATGAAGCCAGCATTTAAAAGCTTCCTAGAGAGCTTCGCCAAATGGCTTAAAAATAAAGTCAATCGCGAACAGGGCATCAACTTTACAATCCCAGACATTGAGTTCACACGGCGCGGTGTCAGAGAGGCATTGATTACTTTAGGCAAAACAGACTCCTCTCGGGGCCTAAAGTTCTGCGAGGAATTCCGCATCTTCTCAATTTCCCTGGACTGCGGAACACACGGCAGCCGTCATGGTCTATTCTCTTGTGTGTGCAATCCAGGCAAAACAGATCGCCACCAATTCTTCGACACAACAATTTCGACTAATTGGACATACGAGGACTACCATACGTGGTTTGATTCTCTTAAGGTTAATAAAAACCACGTAGCTGGAGTAGTCGGAGATGGTTTGCCAGCCCAGGTTAAAGGACTCTGCCACTGGAGGCCAGAAGGAGCCCTTTTCCCTGGCTTACAAACCGTGTACATTCGTTGCCTTAACCACGTCTTGAACAATGCTATTGTCCACGCACGTAAGCAATGTCCATTGTTGAATGAACTGATGAATAGAGTTCACCAGATTATCATTATCTTTAAGAATCACGATATGAGAGCGAGATACAAGATCAGGGTTCCATCAATCCCGGAAACTCGCTGGCTCTACATATATGATACTCTGTTTTTCATCTTTGATAATCTGGAAACAATTAATACTGCTTTAAGAAGTGGAGATCTTCCACTATCCCTTTCCAGAGCTACACGTGAACAGTTACAATGGACACGTGATGGAATTCCTCCACTCTTTAAAGATGCTTTAATGATATTCAAGCCATTAAAGCAACTTCAATTATGGCTGGAATCCAACAAGTCCATGGGTGCTTATGCATTCCTGATGATACAACAGTGCCAAGGGATGTTGGATGAAATGGCAGGAAGATTAACGCCAGATGGTGAAGAGATTCTCCGATCAATCACTACAATATTCAAAAATGATATGAAAGAATATGGTAGAATTGATTTGCTTCGGTTTGCTTTCGGCTTTACACCGTTAGCAAGGAAGATCATCAGAGACAAGAAGGGTTTTGGAGGAAAGACAAGCTATCCACCTATAATGCAGTTGAAAGATGTGCAAGTCCCAACGATTCCTTCCCTGAGGATCATCAATCGCGAGATCACATTTGAGAAACTCGGCGAAATCCTTGAAGAAGAACGAACAGAACGTGTTGACGAGGTAGCCGAGCATGATGAAGAGATCCAGCAAGCAGAAGAGGAACAAATGCTTAACGACGATCATGCAGCCGAAACAAATGCCGATGGTTCGAGGAATTCCTTGGTCTGGGATGTTGTAGATGAAGAGATAAAAGATCTATACACATTCATGATAACAATCCTCAGACAAAGAGCAATTGCCGAATCAACAGTTGATCCAACGATCAATAAAGACGATAGAGCCAAGGAATTGAGTGATGCTTACGATTTCTTCATAGAGCAAGATGATTCCCATCTTATAAATGGTCATCATCTTGCTCAAAATGATGGCAAGTTTTGGTACATGAATGGCATAAAGCAACTAAAAGCAATAAGACCAATTGGAAAAAGGATGATGTCACTTTCGTGCAGTGAAGCAGATGTAGAACGGGTAATATCTGAATTGCGAAAGACAAGAAATTCAATGAACGAATCATGCAAAGAAGAATATGTAGCATGCCGCTTCTTCATCAAGTTGAATGATGATCAATTTGATATTTGATTTTGTTTTTTAATAAAATTTATTAAATAATTTGTTTTAAAAAGTATTATTTTTATTCGTAAAGATATTAGACAGAAGGTGGCCAGCCTAATGTCTATCAATCTTTAATATTAGTAGTAATTTCCCGCATTTCTGAATGATGATTGATTAGCTTTGTTGTTATTGATGTAAAACTGGATAAGTATTAAATAATTATATTAATCTTGGCCAGGGGACTGCTGATGGCCAGTCAGCAGCGGCCACTATGAATCATTATAATTATTTAATACATAAATTGAGGTAAAAAGCAATAAGACTTGCCGAGCCTCATGCCTCTACCTCATATAAATAGAATCCCACTTTAGTGAATCAACATCTATAAGAATGAGTAGGTGACAAAAGTGCATACTCTTAAATTAACCTTAAATGTTGATTTTTCGATATTTTCGGTATTAACCTTATTGTAAATTTTTCCGGTGATAAATTTATCACACTGAGGTTATTTTTCCGGTGAGATTTTTAACCTTGATTTAATGAAATTAATATAGGGTGTCCAAAGGTGCGTTTAGCACAGCGCTCTATATGAGACTATTAAAGGATATATATGCTGATTATAAATATATAATAAAAAATATGAATATATGTATATGATGAGTATGTTGTATTTTGGCGCCATGCCGGGATATAAAATGAATTTTGAGACAAGAGGCGGTTTCGCGGGAAATTTTGGCGGGATTTTTTTCATTTTTTTAATGAATCATAAAGAAAACATCCTCGCTCTTGCAAAAAAAAATGCAAAAACTGTAAAAAATCTACGAGACATTGGTAAAATGCTTCGGTATGGATGCTCCTAGCTATTCCACTGTAACGTATCATGTTAGGATGTATCACTTCATGAACAAAAAGGCGCCCATCATAAAAATTGACAAAAAATCGCCGGATCAAAGAAAAATCAAAGCAATTCTTCAAGCGCTAGATGAAGACCCAAGAGCATCACTCAGAAGGATAGAGGAGATGACAAAGATACCACGTACAACAGTCAGTTATTATCTGCACAATTATTTGAACTACAAACTAGCGTATACACGTTGGGTTCCGCACAACCTTAATTCAGTTCAAAAAAAATCTAGAGTCCAATCTTCGAAAGAGCTCCTCTCTATATTGGGTGCGTATCAATCCAAGAAGTTTCGCTTTTTAGTAACAGGGGACGAGTCTTGGTTTCAATATGCAACAGAAGCCAAAATCATGTGGATCCCGAAGGATGAAAATCCGCAAACATTCCCGAAGAAAAAAATTGACACACCAATGATGATGTTGTCGGTTTTTTGGGCGTGAATGGCATCATCGCAATTGATATTCTTCAAAAACCTAATACGATGAATGCTCAGTATCTAATTGACAATGTTCTTACTCAAATTATCAATTCTGATGAGTTTGAGAAATCCAAATAACAAAAACAAAAGTTTGCAATTCATTTTGATAATTCAAGAGTTCACAAAAGTCATAAGGTAATGAATTACTTGGTGGAAAACAATGTCAAAGTTGTTCCAAACCCAATTTATTCACCTGATATTGCACCCTCTGACTTTTATTTATTCGGCACGCTAAAAAAGAGAGCTGAAGGACGCGATTTCGCGAGTCCAGATGATCTTGAAAATTTTGTAAGAGAGCAATTTGAGCAATTTTCTCATGATGATTTAAAGCGTGTCTTTCAAGCCTGGATCGATCGCTGCGAACGCGTGATTGAATCCAATGGTGATTATATTTAAATAAACTTTATATATATGTAACTTGTTTATTTCTATTCGCAGTATTCAGGTTTGTGCTAAACACACCTTTGGACACCCTATATATATAAATTTTATTATTTTTAATTTCGAATGAGTATAATAAAATATTTTTATGTGTTTTTGTTTTTGATGTGATTTGAATTTTGTTAACTCTTTTCAAAATCACTTCATTTTTATGATTTCAGTGGACTTAGAGGAGGTTATTGCTTTTGGTATTAAACAGGAAGTCAAGGGCGGTGTCCCATACAGAAGAAGAACGGAATCTCCAAAGCAATATGTCACTTATTCATGTTCGTATCCCCTATGCAAGGCAAAATTTAGGGTTGAAGAACAAAATGGAGTGTTTACTATAAGCAAAGTTAATGAAGAACATTGCCATCATATAGGAGTTGAAATGGGTTCACATTACGCGAGTAAATTTTATCAAAAATGGATCGAACTTTATATTAAAAACGGTGGAAAGCAATTTCTTGCTCAAAAAGCATTTTTTGATAAGTTCGGAATTGATACGAATAACAAAGAAACAATGAAACTTTTCGCGCAGTCTACTGATGCTTTAAAGCACAAATTTTATCGCCTTGATGAGATTATTGCACAAAGATTATCAAACGATCCTTACACTTCTTTGGAAGCATTTTTGAATAATTTACAGGAAGAGTGCCCAGATGATCTCGTTCAATTTGATTACAATGGAGATTTTTCCGAGTTTACAATCATATATGCACCTTTTGCTGCAAAAGAATTGGTGCATAGCATTGATAACCCTCTCCACGTCGATTCCACTCATTCTTTAATTAAAGGAAAGATCCAATTGTTTGCAGTAACAATGAAAACAAGTCAAAACACAATTTTCCCCTTTTGCTATTTTTTAGTGAACCCTCAGACATCTGAAAAAATTCAAGAATGTTTGGTGAAATTCTGTGAGTTTGCGCACCTGGATCCACAGCATTGGAGCGCTGACTGTGCGCTAAACATTGCTCGCGCAATTGAGGACGGATTTCCTCTTGCGCAGCTCAGTTGGTGCGCTCTGCATGTTTTACGCGCATGTGCAAAAGTTGGAAGCTATTTTGACAATCCACAGAATTTTGAGAACTTCTATTTAGCAATGGACTTTTTGACATTACGTGCATATGCAACGAATGCAGAAAAGCTGGCTGAAGAGTCTGATGAAACATATGAGTTCTTGACAACAATGTTAGAAGAAGAAGAACCGCGCGCTTTGAAGTATTTCGATAAACAATGGAGAAGAACCAAAGAACATTGGATGATGTTATATCGTGGAGAAGGTGATTCCACGAATAACATTGCGGAATCACACTTTCATCAATTAAAGCAAACATTTTTCTTGGGTAAGAAAAATGAGCGCAATGATGACATCGTCGTAACTCTCATCACTGTTGTGATTCCAAATGCGATTATTAAGGTTCAAGTCGCTAATGTTTTGAATGAAGAAAGAGCAGTAAGAATTTTTACAAGGGCAGGTAATCAGATTGTTGAGCAAAGAGCTTCAAAACACGATGAATGTTTGAAATTAATTCAACACATTTTGGAAATTGTCGAAAGCCGAAGGATTGAACCTAATGTCCTTATTCCATCTTTGAAGGCAATATTAAATTTGGCACAAAGAAGTTTAAAGGAAGAGTAAGCAAGATTAGATAATTTGGACTTTTTTTAAAATTAATGAATAAACAGTATATTTTTGAAGTGTAAGCTTATTTACCTGAAGCTATATTACTTAATATAACATTCAAAGTATTATTGCTATTTATTGGAGAACAAATTTATGTAATTTTCACATGAAAATTGATAAATTTGTATTTCCTTATGATAATCAATTTTTGTATTTGTAGAGAGTCTCCCTGCATGATATCAAGACTTGGCTATTAGTCTTTATCCATTTTTGAAAATTGTATTGTAAATTGTAAGAATTTCTGAATACTACTACTATAAAATATAATTGCTTATCAATGTATATTCTCCCTGCATGATATCAAGACTTGGCTATTAGTCTTTATCCATTTTTGAAAATTGTATTGTAAATTGTAAGAATTTCTGAATACTACTACTATAAAATATAATTGCTTATCAATGTAGTTAGTATCCCTAACTTGGGTACGGCGGCACTGCGTTCCACCTTACCCAACTTAGCGATTTTGACACTTTACGAAACCGGTAACGTATATTTTACAACACAACCATAACACCAACTTAACCTTAAATATTTACAAAACCATCTGACACATAAACGACTTCACTAATGACTTCACTAATGAATTCACTAACGAATTCACTACCGTCCTCACTAAATAAAAAATAACCTTATTTTTATTTTTTTAATTTTTTATTTCATTACAAAGACATGTCTGACTACATTTACTATGACTCTTTCCCAGAACGTTTCCGTGAACTATTCAAAACTCAAGTAAAACTGAGAAACATGCATTTTAACAAAGACAGACCCATTGACGATGAAAGAAACCCTGAATATATTACAATCCCATATGACGCAAAATTCATTGCATACATTCCTTATGGTCGCAGAGGAACGAAAACTATTTCAACAAAGAACAAAAATTATTTCTGGAGCGATGAAGAAAATTGCCTTATCTACATAAATGCATACTTAAATAAAGCTACATATTGTACAAAAGAAGGTTGGACTGGATTTGAGCTCTACATATACGACGACGATGGAAACAGACGTTGTGTATACCCATACGATAATATGTACCATTGTTTTCATCATGCATTAAACGAATACATAGTCAGTAAGGGTCTCATTCCTGTTGAGTAGATATGTTTTATTTTTGTTCTGTCATTTATATAAAAATAAACTTAAAAATTAATGATATCACCACCCTCACACGTATGAAAACATAGCACAAAAATAAATTTAGGTGAAGTGGTGAAATCTCACCTCTTTTTTCACCCGGTTTTTCACCCTGTTGAATTCATTGCTTTATAACTCTCTTCCTTGGTTTCTTTTTAGTTGCTTTCTTCACGTCTGTCTCCAACTTGACTGTCTTTCTTCTTCGGCCGTAATGATACCAATTACTTCCACCAGTCAATGGGTCAAATGGTCGTTCATAAGGGTTTCCATACATTCCATAAGGTCCGTATGGATAAACCGCTGGTGTAGAAGAAACATTTTCTTTAGTTCCATCGACTCTATTTAAATGCATTGTTTCACCTTTCATCTGGTCATTAAAGTCTTTTGCGTGTTTTGCAAACTCATCGTCTTTTCCTAAAGCATTTTCTGACTCAGTCGCAACCAAATTGGATGCTTTATTTATGAGCCCTATTTTATTTAATCTTAACTTCTTTGCAACCCAGCCTCCAATCTTTCCTTTATTTGCATCTAATGTCTTCGAAACCCTTCCTCCACTCATTTTATTTACTGCGTCATAAGCTCCAAGTGCTTTTGCTCCAAATGCTAATGCTTTTGTTCCCATTGCGCCTAAAGCTGCCCAAGCTACCATTTACACCATATTAAAATCATCTCTCTTCAATATTATCTCATAAAAGTTCTCGTTACTGGAGAAAGTCAATGAAACATAAGCGTTCTCATTCATAAACTTCTTTCTTATCTCATCTATACGCTTCAAAATGTCTGAACAATTGCTAACATCTTCTACAACAGTTATTTCATCATGAATGACCTTCAAGAACAAGCTCATTTAATATGCTATTAAAATCATCTCAATAATGAGTCCATCCTTTCCATCTTTAGGTAGCACAACATCTTTCATTGAAGAAGGTTCGACAAGTCTTATGTTAAACTTACTGACAAAGTTTGTTATACTATAATGCTTTGGCGGCGAATACATATAGTTTGAAAGACATAATATAGATTCTTCAGCAAATTCACTTATACTGGATTTTATAACAATGTTCTCACGAGACCAAATGCCACCAATTGACAATCTTGTAAGCAATCCTGCTGAACCTTCAACTGTAAACGTCGATGGTAACATTCCACGAAGATCATCTATTGACATCTTTGAGTCACTGTATTTAAATATTTTCTTAAAGCAATCGTCATTATCTAACCATGCAATAGCTTTGAAGTTTTCATTCGAATATACATCTGCTTCATTAAATGTAAAACCTGACTTATTTGCAGAGACGACTTTAAAATCTATTGAGTTTGTTTCAAAATTATATGCTATGGTAACTTCTGAAGGTAATGGATGCCCTTCCGCAGTCAGTTGTTCTCTCACTACCGTTTGAAGCTTTGTGTTAAAAACTTTCATGTCATCTCCTGTGTCTAGGTTCACATACACAGCAACAGGGAAACTATCTTGCTTCTTTGTTTCATCATTATATCTCAAAACATTAAAGTTCTTCAATAATATTGTTCTTCCTGCTGGAATACTTCGAACCTGTCTGATTTCAATAGCTTTCTCACCTCCTACATACTCTACCCAGTGTCTTGGATATTCATAAGTATACTGACTTTCTTGAATTTTGGTTGGTTTCATCATAACATGTTCATAGTATATCTTTATACTCTTGTCAGTTAGACTCGGTGCTATGTTCTGAATATTTCTGACTTGCATTTTTAATGGACATAAAATGAAGCATTTAATACATGATGTAGATGAAGACATGAATGAAAGCAGTGAAAAGCTCAACAGTTCTCTCATTCTTCCTTTCAGTAAGGACTATGAGTTCTGTTCAAATGGTGTTTATTTCTATTGTGAAAAGATGGGTTCAGGTAAGACATTTAATTTAATTCGTCATATACTCATAACAGAGCGTTTAGGAAACGACTCTTACTATGACCAAATCATTATATCAGCAACTTCAGACTCTATGGACTCAACAGCGAAAACATTTATGTCAAAAGTTCAAGCCTCAGTCGTTAAAGTTCCAGACAGTGAACTCATTGAATTTCTTCAACGTTACATTCGACGTAAGAGGAAATATTATGCAATTGTAGAGTTCATACAGTCAGGAATGCAAAAGACTTCAGAAGAGATGGAAAGAATTATTGACAAACACCACTTACGTCAATACTCAGGAGTTTACGATATGAAACGACTGACAAACTACATTCTATCAAAACTTTCAAAATACCCCTTCAAAAAATATCCTTCAAACACTCTGCTCGTTTGTGACGACTTCGCCGGAAAAGGTTTAGTTTCAAAGCCTGACTCACCATTAGCTAACATCATAACTAAAGTCAGACATTACCATTTAACTGTAGCAATACTTATGCAAACATGGCGTTTCCTTGCTTTAAACATAAAACGTCTCATAACTGACTTCGTTATCTTTCAAGGTTTCTCACGCTATGATATTGAACTCATTTGGAAACAGTCAGGTATAACATTACCTTTTGAAGAAATTTGGGAAGCATATAAGTCTCTCATCTCTCCTCGTTCATACCTTGAGATTCATATCATGACTAATACCATTAAAGTCAAAAATATTCCATGGGAACGACCAACATTGTTTTAAAGTTTAACCTTCAATTGACTGATGGTAAACAAATTCCATGCATCTCTGTCGCCATTTCTGTTAATATTTTTGCTGTCATTCATATCATCCACTTCCCCATCCGTTAGCTTTTGAGGATATGCGTTAGAATAGCTGTTCTTAAATGAAGGCTTTTCACCTTTGAGAGCATAAACTCTATAACTTTCTGCATATTTTATGTTTGAACCTCCTGAGCCATCATTGACATAAATTTTTATAGGCTTCCACCCTTTTTTCATATTCCTGCTTCTTCCCTTTGCTCTTTTGTTCAGTAGTTCTACATCTTTATACACAGCTCCTGTCTCAGTGAATTCAACAATATTTTCATTCGTTAGCTTTACATTCAAACCCTTGTCAAGTATATTGTTCATTTCATACATATAAAAGGTTTTTATTCTATATGAAATGAGAAGCAAATCCATCTTAGCTGGTGCCGTTAATGTTCCAATTGAACCAACATCAAATGTTGACTCACGAACGACAAACAATATTGTCATAAAGAACTATAGTTCAGAGTGTTTGAAAGAACCAGAACCAGAACTTAAGTCGGGACCTTCGGTCTTGGCGCATGGCGCCGTGAATTTAAACTCAGCTTCAAACGCTAACGCTACATCAGATGTTAAGTTAGAGTATCCACCACTGGACCAAATTCTTTCAAGAGAAGCCAACGACAATCCTTACACAAATGTTCAAACAAATCCTTCAGATAACGTAGACCATTACCTTCCTCAGTTATACCAAACAATTTTACTCAAAGACGCTAAGAACTTTTCACAAATCTTATAAGCAAGAACCAAATAATTCTAACAAGGGAGGATTTAGAAAATGTTATCTCACGAATAACAGGGAAACAATGTGTCATTGACTATCTCGACCCTGAAATCGAATGCTGTGGTCAAACTCCACTATTCATGAAAATAGGTAAACATCCGCATCATTGAAACACCAGGAAACTACAGGAGTTGAGTTTAAGTATAAATATTCGAACGAGTATACAAAAACTATCTACTGACTATAAACTTGTTTGAAATATGTTTAGTAAATTAAAGCAATTTGTAATATCTATCCAAAACTTCTTCAACAGTATCGAACTCATCTTCATAATGCAAACCTAATCTTATTGACTTGGTGCAGTTTTCACTAACACAATATTTTTCTGTTCTCTTGACTGACATAACTAACTCATTTGTTTCATCAAACAGCAACAACCAAAGTTCATGACCTAATACATAACATTCATACTTTATATTTTTAGCTCTGAGTTCTCTTGTAAGCTGTTGCATTTAATATTTTCTAAAAAGTCAACTTCAACAGTCATTCGCACTGGTGCTTCAGTTCTACAGGCTCTCTTGAAAGTCAACAAGTCTGAATTGCATGTCTTTCAAATTATGAGGACTAATGCGAACCCATTTACCTAAATGAGTTGCTATGACAGGAACGTTTGGAATGAACATTGAATTTACTTCATAACAGAAAGACTTATATTCTACTGAACCTTTACTATTAACTCCTGAAATACCTGTGACATTAGCTATTTTTGACTCAACGTACAAACAATTGCCATAACATACGTATGGAACAGATTTCATCTCAATCGTTTTGTCAACACTTTTCAAAGGAAATGTCATATGGTATGCACCCAAAAGAAGTTGTACTCTATGACTCATTCTTGGTATCTTAAACTCTTTCTCGCTGCTGAACTTCAATGTTCCCTCAGAAGAGAGTTCGACATCTATGTTGTCAATAGTTTCTTCATTTATGAGAGTATCTATGACTCCAGCAATTTTATCTATTCTATACCCAGCTCTATTAGGAAATGTTATAACACTTCTTTTGTCATCTATTTCAATCTCTATGAAATCTGTTTCATCTGTTATGACAAAAGTTGCGATAGTATTGAAGTCAACAACTCTGAAAGCAAGCGCTTCATTCTGAAGACCTAAGTTTGTTTGTAGCTTTACTGTCCCGTATTCGTTTGGGTCTGTACTTTGCAAATAGAACAACATTTTATTCTCATTAAAATATGACTATTGCTGCATATGCGTATGAAACAAATGAAGCAAGAAGTGCACATGAACTAGTAAACGAAAACTCAACTTTAACCATTGAAGGCAATGATTTAGTCATTGACGATGGAAAAACTAAAAAAGTCATTGATTTCGATACTTTTAACACTTATGACCCATTCATTACAACAAGCAAGGTTCCCATCATAAATGATGGAACGGTGCAATATATAAATTCTACAGTAGATGCCTCATTAGTGAAAGTATTAAATGTTCTCATTGAATTGTTAAAGAGCTTTCGATTTGACGACAACATTAAATGCCTAAAGAATTTAGTCATGAATGAGAAACAAATTCTCGGCGTTGCTGGTAGCAGTAATGATGTACACCTTATGACATTAGAATATTATAACGAACATAAAGATGAACTGAAAGGAGAGAAGGGTGACACCGGACCTCAAGGACCACAAGGCGAAAACGGTTTGGATGGTGAAGATGGAAAGGATGGAAAAACTGCTAAATCATGGATATGGAACCTTATAAATACTGGTTTAACAGCTGCTTCATATGGAGTTCTTCAATACCAAATCGGAAAGATATGGGCAGTACTTGCTGAAGAAGTTTTAGATGACGTTAAAAATGCTTTGAACTTCATTTCAAATGGTTCGGATACTATTAAAACTTTATCTGGTTGGATGCAAGAAACAAGGAGTCAAATAGATACTGTAAGACGTATAGCAAACAATGCACGTACGGGATTGGATACTTTACGAGAAGCACAAAATACACTAAAGGAAGCAAATGATATTTTTGGCTCAGTATCAGACATGCATGAAGATTGGCTTAAAGGTATTGACAAATCTTTAAAAAATCACAGTCAGTCTATTGCTGACTACAAGAAAAGTATAGATTTTTTACATAGTGCTATGGACGTACATGATGGAAGCATAAGGAACTTACTTAATGCTAACAATAACTTACCAGGAACTATTAAAGCATTTATAAAGTCCTTTGTAAAACCTGGTGCTCTAACATTTAGGTCTTTGAGAGCAAGAGCATTGAAGTCAAGAGATGCAGAAACTCCAACAGAACCTACAGAAGGAACTGAAACAATAGAAACTCCAGAGGATCCACCAAAACCAACAGCTAATGAAATATTGTTCGAATATTTTCCAAGGTACTCTGTTCTCATTGCATACATTCAAGAAATACTTAAGAAAGCAGACTTGACTTTAGGAGATGATGAAAGTTCTGTATATCTTTCGTTCCAGTTTCAAATAGCAGAACTTTTGAGACAGATATGCTTAATGTATGACAACATCTCTGATTTCACAAGATATGATGACGACCATGACCCCGAACACGGTGAAGAAGAAGTTTTACAAACATCCATTAAGACAGGAAAGGTTTTAACTCAAAGTCTCATTATTGACACCAAAGATGGCGAAGTGGACGTTCTTCAAGAGCTGAAGAAAAATACTTCTTCGGGAGGTGGTGGTAGGCATGAACTTGAAATAAATGAGATAGAAGAGAAATTAGCCGAAAAAGCAGATAAAAACCATGTTCATTATATAAGTTCAGACGAACAGATTATAACGGACTACCATGGATATTTAACACAGGATGAACAAATAAGCACTGAAGATGTTAATGAAAGAAGATATAAATTCATTCGTGCTAAAGGTTATGACATACGCTGTACTGTACAGTATGACACAGGTAAAGCACCAGAAGCATTTGGTTATAACAATGAAATTTATGCCTCTACTTTCTCTGTTAACGGTGTATTAGTTGAACCAAGATTTACATTGAGAGTTAAGGCAAAAATAACTTTTGAAGATGCTATTAAAAGTAAAGCTGACAAAGATGAACTTGACGCAACGAACAAAGTTTTGAAATCTCATAAACACAATATCTCCGATATAAATGAACTTCAAGCTACATTAAATAGTAAAGCTGACAAGAACCATACACATGAATCCTTCACTACTGTTAGAGCAGACGACATAATATTGAACTATACCCTTGGTTCAAGTGCACCATTAGAAAATCCAAGTGCAGGCGTAAAAGATACTCTTAACAATTTAGATAACAGTTGCAGGAATATCGAAGATCATGCCAGAAACTTTGAAGCATATGAACTACCAACAATGTTAGATAAGAAAGCAGACAAAACAGAGCTTCAAACATTAAAGACAGAAATACTTCAAACCATATATCCTGTTGGTTCTATTTATACGTCAATGAACTCAACAAATCCCGCAACAGTTCTGGGTTTTGGTACGTGGAAGCAGATTGTAGATAAATTCTTATACTGTGCTAGATATTCAAAGCAAACAGGGGGTTCGAAGAAAATTACTGAAGCAAACTTACCTGCGCACACTCATACAGGAACGACAAACACAACAGGTAATCATTCACATTCAATAACAAAAAGAGGTTATACAAATCTTGCAGCGGGTTCGGATAGACAGGGAATGAATAGAAATAATATTTCAAGTGACCCAGTAGATTCAAGCGCAGGTATTTTCTGTGGAACCGCAGGAAATCATTCACACACTTTCACAACAAATCCAACAGGCTCGGGTGAAGATTATATGCCACCTTATATGACAGTTTATGCATGGGTTAGAACGGACTGAAAGTCCTGAGCTCCAAAAGAGCGAACAGCATGAAATTACTAAATTTAACTTTACATAAATGAGCTTGAAAGAAGTATTCGAACAACATCAATGGAGGTCATTTAAGAAGTTCAATGAAGCTGCAAAGAGTTGGGGATTTACTAACAGAGCTGAAGTGAAAAGGTTCTTTGACAAAAATGTTGTACATCAAACAAAAATAAACCCTTACGACTACTTTTCACCAATTTACTCCAACGCTCCTGACGCATACCAATTTGACACTCTCATTCAAAGCAGAAAAGGAGGACATAAACCATTCCTCATCTTCATTAATGTTAACACTCGTAAAGCATATGCATATTCAATGAAAAATAAAGGAACTCGTGAAGTGTTAAGAGTTTTACAAAAGTTTGTAGCAGAACATAGCCCAAGTACTTTAACATCAGACCAAGACAGTGCATACCTCAGCAATGAAATCACAGATTTTCTCATTAAGCATAACATAACTCACTACACTACTGAAGACCATAACCATAACATACTCGGCATCATAAACCGCTTCATAAGGACTCTCAGAGATTTAAATCAAGAGCGAGACTTTACCGAAGAAACAATGAAACATTTTCTCGAAGTATATAATTCCTCAACACATTCTACAACAGGACATACACCAAATTCAATGTCACAACAATAAGAAGAAAAGTATATACAAAAGAAACGAAGCCAAACACAAAATATCAGAAATTCAACACAATTTACCCTCATTCCTGGTACAAAAGTTCGTGTAGTTCTTGACGACAAGCCGTTGACAAAGAAACGTTTAAGGTTAAGTCGAAATTATTATATCGTAGACTCTACGCAAGGTAATGGATATCTTATAAAAGCTGCCGACGACTCTATTGCGTTTTATCCTCGTCATAAATTAGTCGAAAGTAGTAATGGCAAACTTGCTGAAACCATTGACAAAGCAAAGCGAGGAGTGGTTATTGAAATACTTGGCTATAACATAAACGATGACACTTATAAAGTAAGATATGAAGGAGGCGTTGAAGATGTTATACCATCTAAGAACTTGAGAGAGTCGAAGCCAACACATCTGGGACCATTAGAGCGGGAGTACTGGAAAGACAAAAATAAGCCAGAAAGAATAAGAAAATTCTTCTAAACTTTTTCATTAGATGTAAATCAGACATGAATGAGAACAGTCATGATATCATTAATGGTACCATTTATTTACACCAAAAATAAAGTTTATGTTAGAATGTTAGATCTAACACGTTTTCTAACCACTTTTCTAACCTCATTTCTACCCTCATGAATTTCCTTAAGACAGAAAAAATAACGTTGGTTTTATTTTTTTTCTAACTTTTTATCTTGTAGGTAAGAACAGAAATGTCAGTCGAAGCAAAAACATTCACTAACAAATCTAATGGCGAAACATTCACAAAAGGCACTTATAACGGTATTGAAGTCTTACGTAGAGACAAGGATGGTTATATAAATGCAACAAATTTGTGTCAGCAGTTTAGGAAAGGAGTATATAAGAATTTCCGAAAAAGTGACACACAAAAAGTGACACTTTCAATAGGGAGTAACACTTAAAAAGTGACAATTTAAAATTCACAATAAATAAAAATAATAATTTTTTAGTCTATTAAATTATTCTTTTCTTTGAAATCCTCTAAAAATTCTTCGAAATGTTCTAAAATATAATCTGGAGAATTATAACAAAATTCATTAATTTCTAACATATACGTATCTAACAATTCATTTGGAATTTCAAACGATCTTAAATATGTAATTGAATTTTGTATCTTCTCATTTATTTGAGAAAGTTTTTCTTCAGCATTTTCCAATAAAAATCTTAATGGATTCAAATTGGCTTCTTGATTCTGAACAAAATTTAATACTTGGTATAAACGTGATTGAACTTCTCTTTTCAATTTTGTTTTATAATCTGTCAATCGAGGCTCGCGAATTCTAATTGAAGGAATAAAACCTGTTTGAAGTAAATCGTTTTTAATACGATAAAAGTAATTGGGTGCAACTTCTTCTAAAAGATTTTGACAAAAACATCAATTCTTTGATTTTTAACGCAGCCAAAATCGTGATATTTTATCTTTTTAAATAAAGATTCAGAAACGTTATTCACAACGGTTAATTCATTTGGTCTGGCAGCGGCTATCCACATCATAGCCAACAATTCCTTATACAAAATTCAAAAACTTGGGTGCAATCAGAACTGATTGCACCCAAGTTTTTGAACTTTCTTGAGGGAATTAAAGGGTGAGAGATTTATAGTCTATCTATATATCTCCCACCCTCTAATTCCCTCCCTGACAGCGGGAAACTTTGTCTGAATGTTAAACTATTCAGACAAAGTTTCCCACTGTTTGCGAAGGACTTGTTGGCTATGATGTACTGATCATGAATCAGTACATCATAGCCAACAATTCCTTATATAAAGTTCAAAAACTTGGGTGCAATCAGAACTGATTGCACCCAAGTTTTTGAACTTTCTTGAGGGAATGGAAGAGTAAGAGGTATACATTATGAATATATACCTCTTACCCTTCCATTCCCTCTCTGACAGCGGAAAACTTTGTCTGAATGTTAAACTATTCAGACAAAGTTTCCCGCTGTCAGCGAAAGAATGGTTCCATCTGGTGCATAGAGTGTGAATCTATGCACCAAATGGAGCAAGTCCCTCGCGAAATTGCCAAAACTTGCGTCGCATTTCAAAGATTGCGACCCAAATTTTGGCGATTTCTAGTAGAGATGGAGTATTTTGAGTCACTGACCTATATGCAGTGGCTCAAAGGGCTCCATCTCTACTTTGAAGCAAGGAAACTTTCCTCGAAATTTTGATAATTTGAAGAAAGTTTTCAAGCAATTAACAAAGGATTACTCGCTATGAGGTAAAAATTCTAGATTTTCACCTCATAGCGAGAGCTTCCCTTTCATTGCTTGAAAACTTTCCCCAGCTTCAAAATTGTGGAAAGGGCTGTAAAGTCGACTCCGATACCAGCAGGTACCAGAGTATTTAAAAGAGAAGCCCTCGTACGAGTTTCTATGAAGACCTTCTCATTCAAGAAGATCTTAATAGAAAATCGTACGAGGGCATTGGAAACTCGCGTCTGGTACATGTTGGTACCAGAGTGTTTGAGATTTGAAGACTCTGGTACTAACATGTACCAGAATTTATGATGAATTTAAGATGGACCATTAAATGGTAGCGGTTTGTTTCAAAAAAATTTAGATGAGATTTGCATAGATATAGATTATATGATTTATACATATGAAAAATAATATATAAAAATATAATTTTGAGATAATTATGTAAATAATATTTTAAATATTTGAATTTGAGGTATAATTTTATAGTAAAATATATTATAAAGAGTATTTATATAAATATTGTAAAATAATATAAGTAATAAAAATTGAGACCCCCTCCCTGCTTTTGATGTTTTGTCAATTTTTCGGTAATTCTTATTGTTTCCTTATAACGGTATTGAAGTCTTACGTAGAGACAAGGATGGTTATATAAATGCAACAAATTTGTGTCAGCAGTTTAGGAAAGACTTTAGAAAGTTGTTGGAAAATAAGTCCTGGGAAGAGTATTATAAGGCATTTTGTGAAGAATATAGCAACAGTCGGAATTCCGGCGGTTGCTTTTTATACAAAATTCATGCAGGAATTCCTGATGAAATCAAACAGGTTAGAGGAACGTATGTAGACCCAAGACTTATAAACTATATAGCAATGTGGGCTTCTCCAAAATATTGCATAGCAGTTGGAAAAATTATGGACTCCATAGACAAGAAAGTTCATGAGAAGTTAGATGAAGAAGAACTCGAAGATACAGTAGAGAATGCTAAACCTTTGCTCGAACAAGAAGTTAGAAAAATGCATGAAAAACAATTAGAACATGAACGTGAGATATGTTATGGTTATAGAGATTCTCCATACGAACTAGACCAATGGGAACAAGAAGATTTAAAGAGAGAATTTAGAGAATATGAACTCGCTAAGATAGCATTAGAAGCTGCAGAAAAGAAGTTAAAAGTTTGGGGTCGTTTTGTACAAAAATATTGTGAGTAAATGAACTCATTATTTTTGCATCATGACACGAAGTGAAGATTCGCACTTCGTCAAAAATGTGAAGGTTCCCGACGGTTTCAAACCGCCATACTTTACATGAAGATAGTTTACAATGTCAACTAAATATCATGTACGATAGAAACGGTTATGTAAAGTTTACATTTTGTAAAGTTTTGTCTTGAATCAGGACAAGTCTTGCACTTTTTCAGAACAAGTCTTGTATTTTTTCAAGACAAATCTTGTCCTGATTCAAGACAAGTCTTGTATTTTTTCAGAACAAGTCTTGTATTTTTCAAGACAAATCTTGTCCTGATTCAAGACAAGTCTTGTATTTTTTCAGAACAAGTCTTGTATTTTTTCAAGACAAATCTTGTCCTGATTCAAGACAAGTCTTGCACTTTTTCAGGAAATCCTATCGTCCAACTTTACAAATGTCACTTTTCAACATGATTACATTTTGGTCGGGGAACAACTTTTTCTCAATTTTGTCACTTTTCTATCGTCGTGTTTTGTCACTTTTCCCTCAGGGTGTGTGTGTCAGAAAATATCCAAAATCTTTATAGCCTCGTATCTCCTTCAATTCTTGACGGTTTGACATGTATGACACACCATTCAATTCAGAATTATGTGCTGAATCTTATGACCTTCATTTGTTCGTGACTTCTTTTCACATATGTAACCATGAATTTTTAACATTTCCTTAAGACAGAAAAAATAAAGTTAGTTTTTTATAAAATATTTTTTTATCCTGTATATAAGAAACAGAAATGTCAACATTAGAGAACACAACAACTGCTATCGTTCATGAAGCTATAAATGAAGAATACAAGTACATACAGTATAACAAACAGTTACGCCTCATTTGTTCGGTCAAAGACGATATGTACCAGATGCAAAGTATAATGAATGCTCTTCGTTCTACAAAGCAAGCATATCATTGGTTTGAAAACCAACAGACAAAAGAACTTTTAGAAGAATTTCCTCATATGATTGCTTCCCTCGGAAAACCGAGAGAAGAGATTCCGTATGAAAATCGCAAGAATTTGGCTCCTGGTTTGAAAGGTTATTATGTTCATAGACTTTTAGTAAATGCTGTAGCAATGTGGGCTTCACCTCGTTATGCTTGTTATATTTTCATGATGTTAGATGAACTATATAAAGCAGAACGTGGAGAGATGGAAAAGAAACTTCAAGCAAAAGATGAAGTCATTGAATCCAAAGACAAAAGCATACAGAAAAGAATACCGCGTTCGGTACCAAAAGGAAAGGAAAAGAGTTATAAGTATATGATATATACCGAAGAGTTGGAAAATGAAGAAGATAAAGATATGGTTATGTTGCATTTAGTCAGAAGAAACAACAAGAGCTTTTATGACTTAGCTAAAATATATAAATCTGACAGAAACTGGTTCTATCGTGAAAACTTACCGATTTCAATGACTCCGAATGAGCAAATAAAGGAAATTGTCAAAAATACTCTTCCTCAAACACACTATGACATCAAAGGTTGCACAATACTTACATTTAAAGAAGACTTAACATTACTGAAGGAAAAAATAACAGAATATTTCGATAACTTCAAAGAGGAAGAATAAAAAAATCTAAGCTAATTTTATTTTTTTATAAAATTTTATCTCATATGAAAGAACATGAATTTAGAATATTCGGAACTCATGACAGAAGAAGAGAACGAACAACATGTAAAAGATTATGCAAAATTTCTGAAGACATACAAAGCATTTAAACAATATCTAAATGCTTCTAAAGATTATGCAAAATTTCTGAAGGTATATAAAGCTTATGAAAAAGCGTATGAAAAGTTTATACATTGGGGAATTGTTGTAAATATCCATATGAAGACTAACCAAAAATATATTTTTGCTTAAATAGCTTCAGGGTCTATTTCTTCAACCATTTCACTTTCTTCGTCAATGTCAATAGAAGCTTCTTCAACCTTTGGTAAGAATTTCTGTATAACATCTTTGTTCGTTATTGTCTTCAGAGATGAAGGATAATATTTCACATTTGTTTCACCCTTCTTATATTCTTTCTGTTCGGAAAGATTTAAAGCAATACTGAAGAAGTCAATGTTAGAGTTCTTTATGACAGTATAATGAGTATCTTTGACATTCACGAAGAAACTCTTTTTTTCAAAACTACTGCTAACTCTTGTGAAGTATAACGTTTGCGGTCAATGACGATAGCTAATGGTCTGACATACTGACCAAACTTAGATTCTTTCACAAACTTCTTGTTAAAGATAACATTAACATTTGAAGCATTATTGAACTCATTCTTGATGGCATTAGCGAGAGCATTGTATGAAAAGAACTTGCAATCTTGCATGTGTTTCATTAAAATAAAAATATTAAATTATTTTGAAAAATAACTTTAAAAAATCTAATCTAATTTTTTCAAAAAAATATTTTTTTATTTCCTACTAAAGATGTATCGGAAGTTGTCTAAGTTAGAACACTCGGAAATAAAACAACTTCTTACAGAAGCTAATATAGATGTTGCAAAGCATTACGCAACAAACAAAAAAGCACTCGCTGACGTCCTCAATGACTATAATGGTGCAATAAGTTATGATAGAATTCATGAGTTCATAAAGCCGCAACGCGGCGAGGACGAAGTCCATGCAAGAGCATTTCCTTTAAATGACGTTGCTATTGACTTATATCATAGACGTTCAGTACCTCATGAAGTAAGAAGAGAAATGTTTGACATAACAAATGCAAACGTTGGTGAAACAAGAAGAAGAGACGACACACTGAAACAACAGAGAAGAGAGATGTTTAAGAGCGCTATAGAACAAGTTCGCAAAGCTAACGATGTCATTCGTTCCATTGACGACAAACCAAAAGAAGGTGAGAGATGGTTAAAGAAAGATGAAGAGAATAGGAAGTGAAATGTGAAGTCAGGCAATAGACTCATTGACTTTAACATCGAAGCTTTAGATGAACCAAACAGAGACTACTTACACAAACATTTCGGTAAGGTTTTCATGAGACTCTTAGAGAAGATTAAAATAAACTCCCAACAAAGATGGATGGTATGTTATAAACTTGGTGGAAAGTATGAATATTCTACGTTAAACCTCAATAATATTGGAACATTACTACATCAGCTCTTGAAGGAGAACTTTATATCAGAGATAGAAGCAAATGCTGCAGGTATTGTTGAAATGCACTATGACTTCTTCTTGACAAACATAAAGAATCTTACTGAAATAAAGATGTATGATTTAACAGAATATGAAGGCTTAACGATGTCAGATGTAAAGAAAGGCAAACCAAAAAAGAGACCATATAGAGATGAAAGCACACTGACAAATGACCAGAAAGCCATTTTGGAAGCTCTTAAGCAAACAGGAAACCCAGCACTTATAGAAAGCTTTTGGAAAGATAATGGTGAAAAGAAGTTTTATAAGAAGAGAAGCGGTCAGTTCTGGAAGTATCTTTGCACATTACCTATAAATCTTGAACGCTACCAAATCTTCAATGAACTTAACAAAAGAACTGCAACACTTATGACAGAAGATAACTGCTTCGTTTATGCTTGCATTCAGGCTGGAGTAGATGAGCAGACGGTAGACCACATGAGAGAAGTCATTCGTGTTAGAGACTTTCCTCAAAGTAAAGTACAAGAAATTTCTGACGCAACTGGTATAGCATTTAATGTTACCATTGGTTATTTCAATGACTCAAGACATAATGAAATAAAGAGATATATACCAAAAGAACGTGAAACTGTTCGAACTATTGACTTACTTCTTGTTGAAGACCACTACATGCTAAATGAAAGACTTCCAATGACAACATATTTCATTCGGAACTATATAGAAATCTTGAAGGAGTGTGGTGGAATGAACATTGAGAAACAGATGAAGATTTATACAAAGAGAGAAGATAAATATGTAGTTCGCATGGATAGAACTACACCGTTATGGGATGTTATGAAAACATTGTGGGAGTGCAAATATTTCGAACCTATTTCTTATGGAGAACTTTTCACATATACGACTGACTTATATAAACAGAACCTTGCACCATTTAAAGATTTGACATATGCTCCAAAGTATTGTGTACAACTGAAGAAGAAAGCAGAGTCAAAAGAAGTAAATAAAGCTAAATGTAAGTTCATTCCTGAGCATGTTTTCTTTGCTGACTTTGAGTGTAGCACAGACGGCTTTCATAAAGCTTTTAACATCTGTTACGACAGTGAAGATGGTTCAGTGAGTGAAAGCATATGGGGTCAAAACTGTGCAACAGAATTTTTGGAGCGACTTCCTGACAAGAGTTTAATATATTTCCATAACCTCAGCTATGATATAAACTTCATCTTAAGACACATGACAGAAGTGAAAGGAACTCCCATCATTAAAGGTTCACGAACAATGCAAATAACTGGTTTATATAAAGGACGGGCAATTATTATAAAAGACTCTTACAGTGTTATAAATAAGAAGCTTAAACTATTTCCAGCTATGTTTAACTTACAAACAGGACCGAAAGAAGTATTTCCATATAACTACTACAGCAGTACTTTGTTAGCAAATGACAACAGAACTGGTGTCATTTCTGAAGCATGTAAGTTTATCCAGGATGCAGATACATTTATGAAAAACATAGATTCCATCAAAGGTTGCAGAATAGATGAAAACCACTTCGACTTAGAAAAATATAGCACGTTTTACTGCAAACAAGATGTAAGAATTTTAAGAGAAGGTTTTGTAAAGCTCCGCAATGACATATTGAAAGAATTTGATTTAAACGTTTATGACTACGTTAGTATTTGTTCAATTGCTAACAAATTATTTGAGAACAGAGTATACTTCCCGAATGGAAATCTTTATGACCTCTCAAATAAACCAAGAGAATTTATTTCGAGATGCATTCAAGGTGGAAGATGTATGTTGTCAGATAACATGAAACAAAAGAGCGAAAAGAAACTCATTGCTGACTTCGACGCTGTTTCATTATATCCATCCGCTATAGCAAGACTTTATACTTTAGAAGGAATTCCAAAAGTATTGAAGGATGAGATGTTAAGTTCTGAATATTTGTTAAAGCATTTATTCGATGACGACCAAAAGGAACCCATTGGTGAAAAGTTTATGTCTGGCTTCTTTGTTCTCATTAAGATAACAGAGATTGGAATACATAGACACTTTCCTTTAATAGTTTGTGACCCTGAACTAAATCCAGAACTTAACGTTCCCAGAAGTTCAAACACTTGCTGTTTAATGTATGTTGACCATATAACATTACAAGACCTCATAAAATATCAAGGTGTCAAATGTGAAGTGTTGCAAGGATACTATTACGATGGAAACAGAGATATTAGAATAAGAGATGAAGTAAAGAAGTTGTTTGAGTTAAGGTTAAAGTATAAGAAAGAAGGAAATCCTTTGCAAGAAAATATAAAGCTCATTCTGAACAGTATTTATGGCAAAACTATTCTATCTCCTATTGAGTCAAAAATAACCATAGTAGATGACAAAGATGCTATAAGATATGCCATCAGAAACTACAACCATATAGTGAAGTTCGAAGGTTTGGATGGTTCAGATAAAACTATTTTCAAGCTAACGAAAAGCATTTGCAGACACTTTAACTTCTGTCCACTTGGTGTTAACATTCTGTCTATGTCGAAGAGAATAATGAATGAAGTATTCTGTACTGCTGAGGACATGGGTCTTCAAATATTTTACCAGGACTGTGATAGCATGCATATTTTCAATGAAGACATCCCAAAGCTTGCAGCAGAGTTTAAGAAGAGATACGGTCGCGAACTTATAGGAAAGAACCTTGGTCAATTTCATTCTGACTTCGCAGAAATAACACCTGGAAAACAAAGTTTAGCATACAAGTCAATATTTTGTGGAAAGAAGACCTACATAGACTTACTCACTAACGATTTAAATGAAGTTGCATTCCATGCACGTTGCAAAGGTGTCAAACAAGACGTCCTTGCTTTAACAGCAAATGAAATGTTTCCTGAAGCTATACAATGCTATTACAATGAAGATAAGAACATTCACATACCTGTTGGAACATATGACAAAGACTCTGAGTTCAGTTTAATGAAACTGTACAAAGCACTTTATGACGGTCAAGAAGATTGGATTTGACTTATGTAAGTCTTCTAGTCCTTGCTTTGCTGAAAAGTTTAACTTTTCTATTCAGACTAAGACTTCATTCATAAGAAAGCTTAAGTTCTGAGGTCATGAATGAGAAAAATAATAAGGTCATTTATTTTTGTCAGCAGTGAGACCATTCATGATAAAAATAAGCCGCTAGCGGCAAGGGCGAAGCCCATGTGGTCATTTACAATACTGCGATGGTAGAGTTTAAGAGTTGTGCTTCAATGTAGAGACAGTCCTTATGGTCTGGAGGTAAGAACACTGGGCAGTTATGGTCATTAGTGGAGAACATGTCTATCCAAAACTCACGATTGAAGCCAGTTAATTTATAGTATTTAGTGTTAGGAAGTGGTGAAGTTCTTGTATGACCAATGAACTCATTTTCAACTCCCTTACTTAATTTGAATATAATATAGCTTGCTTTCTATCCCAAATGCCAGGTGTTACAATCTTTGAAAATTCATTTTTCCTCGGAAGCATTGCATCATAATTGAAAACATTCTTGAAATCATCACTTGGTTCAGAGATTTGAAATCTTATACGTAATGGATTTTCTTTCTCTTTAGCGACTTCATTGAATGGTGAGAATACAACAAACTGACAGTCATGAGTTCCATCTTCATTTTCATTAAATTCATAATGAAAGTCTATAAGTTGTGGCTGACTACCTTCTTCTTTCAGTTGTGCAAGAAACTCACGTAAAGGCTGTAAAGTTTGTACTTCAATGCTAAACTTTTTCTCGAACATCTCATTAAATGAAATCATACATTGCAACAATGTTGTATCGTCTTTAAAGTATTTGTATATGTGAATGTTTTGGGCGCTTAAAGACTGTTCGTCATTTTATATCTCGACTTGAAGTATAAAGTCAACCTTTCTGAAAGCACGTGTTATATACATAGATGTTATGCCAATGTACTTCTCTTCATTTATGTTCACAATCCAGTCTGTTGGAAACTTAAACGTTACTCTGTTCCCCTTTATTTTGACGTCAGGGTTTTCACTACTGAACGCAACAGATAAAGGTATTTGTCTATACATTTAATTCGGATAAAAATAAACCATTTACTCTTTCTTTGCTTCAGCTTCTTTAGATTTTGCTTCAGCTTCTTCTCTAGCTTTCTTCGCCAGCAAACGTGGGTTCTTTTGTCTTCCAGCAGCTAATGCAGCAAGTTGTTTTTCACTAAGTTTTCTCTTTGGTCTCTCTGGCTTTTGTTCTTGTTTTTGTTCCTTCAGTTCGGATAAAATTTGCTCACGAATTTCTTTCTTCAATGCTTCAACATCTATGACCCCTTGGGTCTTGTCCGTAGGGCTTGTCTGAGTCATTTGACTGCAGATAAAAAACAAAATTAAAACGTTAACCGATGTAAAATGAGCTTGTCAAAATCAGAACGAGAGTCTATTATATTAAATGACGCCAGAGGAATACAACATCCTTTCTATTACGTAAGTCAGAGTAAAGATGGTAAAATATACGTAAGAAAAAGAAAGGTTCCATTAGCGAATGCAGAAAGCGACAACATTAAGGTGCATGGCACCGATGGCGAAGCCCATATAAAACCTTCTGTTCAAACTGAAAAGTCAATAGAACCAGAAGAAAAGAAGCCAGATGTACTTTCAATAACGAACCAAGAGCTTATTGCAAAGTTCGTGAATTTCATTGAAAAGCAAACCGAGTCAAAGAACCCTGACCCGCCAGTGAAAGAAGTTGAGACAAAAGAGAATGTACAGTTCATTGAAAATGTCAAGAAACAACTTCCACCACGAATGCCAAGAAGAAGAGTGAGAATAATGAAGTAAATAGATATTTTTATCTGAAGTAAATACATGCAGAACGAACAGTTAAACGAATTTACTCCAGCAGAGCATATTCATCAGATTCGCTCATATTTCGATATCATAGACAATGCAGTTCAAATTGGTGACACTAATAGAAAATATTCTGACGCAAAGATTCCATCACAACCTGGAACTGCTAAAGATAACACATGGGTAACATTCAATCTCTCACCTCCTGGTGAAAATATGTTGGACCTTTACAATACATTCATTACGTATAAAATGGAAGGTCAATTTATTGTAGATAAAGAAATTGGTTCAGGTTCCAATAAAACAAACCCACCAGGATTTTGGATTGGTTTCGATGACGCTTTCTATGCAGTTGCTGGATATCAAATCCTTGCAAATGGTCGTATCGTATATTCTCAAGACAACGCAAGAGAAGAAGCATATATAACTTCAAACTCACAAACTACCGAACAAATAAAGAAAGTAGATGTTTTCTCAAAGACTCGACATGAAGATGTATGGAGTCATTCGGGAACATGCAGAACAGGACAAATTATTAGTGGTCCAATTACAGCAGGAAAATCATTTGATTTTAAGCTTCGTTTAAGAATTCCTGTTAGAAGATTCCTTCCATTAGAAGCTATTCGATTTATTCCAGCTTTTGCGGGAAACATTCAGCTTAAAGTAAAGTTCAGTAGCGACGCCTTACAATGCACATCTATATCTGTAAATGATATCGTTGCTTTCAATCCAACTCTTAAAGTTGCATTTGCTTCAGATTCAAATCCACCGACAAATAAATTTGTTCCATGGAATGAACCATTCACTAAGATAACGAAGGCAATAGAAGCTAGTGGAACAGTTACTATTACAACTGTAACCCAGCAACTATTTCGAACAAAGATGGATTTTAATGAATGTTTCATTCATCCAAAATCATTCTCTTTAGACCCTAACATTTATACAGAACTTGTAGAACATTATACAAACGAGGCTTTATGTTTTCCTGTTAAAGTTATGGATTGGATTCCTATGGACGGTTCATTCTCAAAGAATACAGATAGTTCAAGTGCAACATTTACAGCAGCTTATACGCCTATTAATGTTAAAAGTATTTGGGCACTATTTAGAAAGAAAGACAACTATTATGTTAATTTTGAGAACCCTAAGTTTAAATATCTTCAGCTTTCCATGGGAGCTTATGGAAATATGCCTGCAGAACCCGAAAAATCATATGGACCTGTATTTTATGAAATGGTTGCGAACGCTTGCAATACAAACAATGATATGATAGGATTTAATGAAGATGTTATGAGGTCATTGGTGGATGATGGTAGTGTGGAACATAAATGGGATAGCTATGACAACACACATTTCTTATGTGGTTTTCCAACAGAAGTGGACTTTTGCTTCCAGCAAGGTCAAACATCTACTGCTCCAATAACATACAAATTGTCTGTTAAAGGACCTATTGAACTAGCAACTGAAAATGTACCAAAGCCACTTATTGGATTTATGAGGATTGTTGCTTTGCCATTCAGGTGCGTGCTAATGGAATCCCAATAATAAGATTAGATGACTATAACTTAGCTGCGGACGACAGTGAGGAATAAAGGATGAACGTTTATTTTTAAAGCTTATAAATGAGTTCTTCATCAAGCTCTCGTGAACCTTCACCATCTATGAAACAAACTTTACCAAACGATTATGGAGCACCTATTGAATATTTCTTACGAGCTGCACAATGGCACAGAGCAGTCTCACCAAGGTTAGGTGTTCCACCAGCTCCTGTCAAAAATAGCATTTGGTCAAGTCCTTATATAAGATATGGTCTCCCACTAGGTTTGCTAGCTACAGCAGGAGCAGTTATGATGTTGAAAAGAAATAAAGCAAATGTTGTAAATAATACTGAAGTAGCTGAAGTTAAACAAACTCCGACACCTTCGCCAAAACCAACGCCTTCACAAGCAAAACCTTCAATGACTCCTGAACCTATGGAAGTACAAACTCCTGTTCAAAAGTCAACTCCAAAACCAACTCCAACATTTAAACCAGAACCCACACCACAAATAAATCGTAAAACTCCTGCGTTTCCTTACTGAAAAATAACGTTATTTTTATTTAATATTAAAATTTTTATTTGATTGAAATGACAAATAAAGTCACTGAAGCAATGAAACAAAAGTTCTTGGTAGAATACATTAAATCAGGAACTATTCCAGAAGGTTTTTACATTCATACTATGAAGGATGGTAGAGTTCAGTTTAGAAAGATAAAGCAACCATTAGATAAAGAAGGAATTTTGAGAAAGATTAAACTTCATGAGGACAACATTGCTGAACTTAAGAAGAAGTTAGAAGAGTTGGAGAAAGGAAGAGAGTTATAAAGCAATGAATTCAACAGGGTGAAAAACCGGGTGAAAAAAGAGGTGAGATTTCACCACTTCACCTAAATTTATTTTTGTGCTATGTTTTCATACGTGTGAGGGTGGTGATATCATTAATTTTTAAGTTTATTTTTATATAAATGACAGAACAAAAATAAAACATATCTACTCAACAGGAATGAGACCCTTACTGACTATGTATTCGTTTAATGCATGATGAAAACAATGGTACATATTATCGTATGGGTATACACAACGTCTGTTTCCATCGTCGTCGTATATGTAGAGCTCAAATCCAGTCCAACCTTCTTTTGTACAATATGTAGCTTTATTTAAGTATGCATTTATGTAGATAAGGCAATTTTCTTCATCGCTCCAGAAATAATTTTTGTTCTTTGTTGAAATAGTTTTCGTTCCTCTGCGACCATAAGGAATGTATGCAATGAATTTTGCGTCATATGGGATTGTAATATATTCAGGGTTTCTTTCATCGTCAATGGGTCTGTCTTTGTTAAAATGCATGTTTCTCAGTTTTACTTGAGTTTTGAATAGTTCACGGAAACGTTCTGGGAAAGAGTCATAGTAAATGTAGTCAGACATGTCTTTGTAATGAAATAAAAAATTAAAAAAATAAAAATAAGGTTATTTTTTATTTAGTGAGGACGGTAGTGAATTCGTTAGTGAATTCATTAGTGAAGTCATTAGTGAAGTCGTTTATGTGTCAGATGGTTTTGTAAATATTTAAGGTTAAGTTGGTGTTATGGTTGTGTTGTAAAATATACGTTACCGGTTTCGTAAAGTGTCAAAATCGCTAAGTTGGGTAAGGTGGAACGCAGTGCCGCCGTACCCAAGTTAGGGATACTAACTAATGTATATTCTCCCTGCATGATATCAAAACTTGGCTATAAGTCTCTATTCATTATGAGTATGACCCCATTTTTTTACAAAAAGTGCCGAATTGCAACTTTGTCCCAATCTCGCAATAAGACTTGCCGAGCCTCATGCCCCTACCTCATATAAATAGAATCACACTTTAGTGAATCAACATCTATAAGAATGAAGTGTTTTGAAGCTGAAATAATATTGAATAGAAATTAATTTTTTCTGAAATTTTGAATGAAATTATGGGAATTAAAAAATTACTAAATATTGTATTCATACAAATATATTATTTTAAAGGAAAAATAGATGCTGATAGAAACGATGAAAATTTTTGAAAACTTTACAATTAATTTATGTTCGTTAACCACAGAGCTTGCAATCCAAAGCTCACGTTAGACAACAAGAGTCATAAAGTCTCACACTAAGGGATATCCAACATATATTTTAATAATCTAATGTTTATGACAAATATTCAACATAAAATTAAGTTTTCGTTTCGTTACAAGGCATTCATACTTTGGAGATATCATATTTAATGTACAGAAAAGTTAATATTAAACAATACATGCTAAAGAATTAATAAATAAGATAATAAAATAAATTTATACGTAATTACTTTCATTTAATATGCTTTATGCTGTATAATATTGATTAAGAGGCATTAAAAGGTTCCATAGTCTGCTTTTATAGGCAAGATTTTTGATAAAAATTTTAAATTTTGAAAAATGATGAGAAAAGGAAAAAAAGGTAAATGAGAGCAAGAGGAGGGAAAAAAGAAAAAGAAAAGAAAGGGAAGGGAAAAATAAAAGAAAGGGAAGGGAAAAATAAAAGAAAGAAGGACATATAAAAATTTAGATGCGCATTCTTAATGCCGAGGCGGCTTGCCGCCGAGGCGCGATTTTTGTAGGCCTCTACGGTAACCCGGCAATGTTTTTTTAAATCTTGTACAGCTCTACAGGTAGCAATATCCAAAAATTTAAAAACATTTTATCAATTCGTTAGAGAACTAGAGCCTCCTAGGTACTGAACCAGAATCAGTGCCTAGGGGACTCTAGTTATCTATATAAATCTGAGAAACTTTGAGGAAATTGTTCGACATTTCCTCAAAGTTTCTCAGCAATTTAGCGAGGAATGTTCGTTATCGTGTAGATATTTATAATATATACATGATAACAAACATTCCCCGCTAAAAGATGTAAAATCTTATAAGAAATAATTGCAAAAGAATAACAAATTGCAACAAATTTTATATGAAACTGAACCTTATGAGGTAGTGATTCAAGATCACCGCCTCATAAGATTCAGTTTCAATCTCAAGTATCTCAAAAGTAAGGCTCTATTTTTTGCCATGTAAAGCGTCACTTTTTCTGTCAAACCGTTTTTATCGTTTTCGTTTACAACAATTATCAATTTATAGCGATTCAAATTCTGATAATTCAACAGATGAACAACTTTTCTCTACAAATTCTCCAAATCAATCTTCAGAAAATGCGTCAGATTTATCGGATGATATGTATTCAATTCATATTGACACCACTCAAAATCTTGAAAAAGCAACAGATTATTTTAATCAGAAATAATTAAACACAAATTTTTCAGAACGTTCAATTAATAAATTCTTCAAAATTCTGAACATTGCAAAACCTCGGAAAAATTCAAAGCCCAAAGGAAAAACAAAATATGAAGCAATGTATGCAAATTTAATTTGGCATGTTGATATTCATTTTTTAAATCATGAACAAGGAGAATATCTTTATGCGGTTATTGACGATAAGTCAAGAAAAATTTTAGCCTGGGCCTATTTAGAAACCAAAGAGGCAGCTCAAACAAGCAGAGTTATTGAATAATGTTTTCAAACTTACGGAAAACCATTCGCAATTTGGAGCGATAACGGTTTAGAAAATTTCGGAATTTTCAAAAATTTATTATTAAATTCTAATGTGGAATCGATAACAATATTGCCACATTGTCCGTATATGAACGGAAAAATTGAGAGATTTTGGCAAAATATCGAAATCGAAGGAACAACATGAAACGACATTCAATCCATCGTTGAAAATTATAATTCAACACGTCATACGAAACTGCCAAAAAACCCTCATGTTAATACATGGTATTGCCCAAACATTTTTATGAAATTTCCGAACAATACGATTCAACAAAGTTATTTATCTGGAGTGTTGACGGACAAGTTAAGGATTTGAGAGAATCTTTACAACATTTCAGGGAGAGAAGAAGAAATCAAAGAAATTAGCAATAAATTACAAAATCAGTCCACAACTTCTTCAATTATAACTTTAAATAATCCAGATATCTCATTTACATATCACGAGAACTATATCGCATATCGAATAAACATTTTATTTTAAAAACTACAAATTATCTTTTTAGTTTTTATTGAGAAAAAGAGATATAAAAAGAGAAGAGTCGTTCAAAGTGGATACATATTAATACGATTAAATGATAAGATCAAATTCGATAAGGATAAGACAAAGATAAAATTATTAAACTCAAGTTTTCATCAAAGTCACATAACCCATATCACCATACAATAGAAATTCAGAAAACCAACTCTTACTAAGATTTTGTCGTTGAATAAAAATTTTAATTTTTTTTGGTTAACTCTATAGCATATGGTGTAGGTTGGTCAATCAAATGGGGAATTATTTGGGAATGAGATTAAGAGGCTGATCTCGCTGCACGTTCTGGAATCATTTCTATGTTGCACTCATTAATAAGAAATCTTGATAGTGATTATTGGCGAGCATAATATCTTTATTGAGTCTTTGGTAAGTAGGAATGATCCAATGGAAACATTAAGATTTTCGGGAAAAGACTTTTTATTTCAAAAATGGTATAGTCTGTTATTGTGCTGTTGAGGATGCTGAAGGAATGGAGTGGCACATTGACTTGGTTGGGGTGGCTGGATGGCTTGAGGAGCAAGCTGTATTGCAACACTAAGAACAGTAGGACCAGCATTACTGCAATATTATGATGCTTCGCCAAGAGGAGTTATATTATCAATTTGTGGCTACCTGTGAGTTAATGAAAATAATATTTTTGTAGTTAATTATCTTGAACTCCGAATGAAAATCAAAGAGTAAGAGGATTATATTAGCCTTATATTCCTCCCACCCTTTGATTTTCATTAAAAATGTGAGAAACTTTGCCCGAATGAAAAGTTATTCGGACAGAGTTTCTCCGATTTTTTGAATGGAATGGAGGTTATGAGATATTGAAGAAATATCAGTACCTCATAGCCTCCAACTCCTTCAAAAAAACTCATTCGCCTGTGGATTGCCCGGTTGAATGAAAATATGCTCAATTCCACGTTCAACCAAAAGTTGATGAAATGAGCTTTTATTTTCAAGGCCGCTATCGGTCCAAATAGTGTATGGTGGTTGAAGTAGAGTATTTAATGCTCTTTTAAGAACTGTAGTTGTATTTTGAGCTGTTTTTTTTTCTCTAAATTAATTAAAATCTATTATTTTTCGCGATCTATCATCTATTATCGCAAACAAATATTTGCCGATTCGTTTCCTCCAATAGTGGATATCAGCATGCCTTATTTGATGACATTTGGATGCTAGATAATTTCGAGGAATGTATTTTTGCTGATTTTCTTGATTTTGAGGGGGAGTATCTGCGATAATCGCTTCGTGTATTTTCCTGCCAATTCTATATGTGGGAGAATCGAAAGTTTTTGTAATGTATGTTGCCGTTTTAAGAGATTCGCGTAATGGATTTATTTCAATAGGTGTACCTTCTATTGGAGTCACAACTGGAACAAAAGTTGTGCGGTTAACTTCATCAGGCCAGTTTCCAGACTCATAATTTATTTCTCCATTTTTTTGAATTTCTGATTGAATTTTTTGAAATTCTTCTGGATTCTTCTCAATATTGACAAGGTCTGTTTTCATTTTCTGAATAATTTTATTGACGCCTGCATCGGACATTAAATCTTTCAAATTTGCAAAAGCTTGGCAGGCATCAAGGTTAATTTCTATTTGTTTTCTTCCTCTTTTTGGAATTTATTCCAAATTATTTTCTCTGACCTTCTTTTTGAACATAGTTTTGGATATCCTTTAGCTTCATTCCAGAGTTAATTTGTTGAACCGATTCCTTTAGCCATTCGATGTCAACTAATTTTCTGGAGGTACGATGCCAATGATATGGATCCATTAATTTTTGTAAAAGTTTACAAAAACTTCCATTTTGAAAAATAGTATGAATTTGATATAAAACTAGTTGTAATAGTGTAATATTGATTAAATAATAATAAGTTTTTTTTCTTAAAAATAATTTTGGCGCCAAAGTCACTTTTTCTAGCGACCCTTTTCGGTATGGTATAATAATTTAAATTTCGCAAAATTACAGATTGTTGGAATGCATTTATTGTAAGTACACCATGTGGATGGATAAATAAGGATCGATTCACTGATTATGCACAATTTTTTGTGATGCAATTTGGAGGAATCTAAGAGAATTGTTGCTATGTGATGACAATTTAATGTTCATGTTTTGGAATGGTACAAACTCCATTTATGTATTACTAGACAAAAATTTCTTATATTATTATCTTCAATCAGTAAAAACGAAAAATCAGAAAACATCGAGGATGATAATATAAGAAATTGAATCCAATCAACATAATGATGATCTAAGTAACATTGATGAAGATGATGGCATTGTTCCATCATACTTGTTATATGATTATTCAGAAAATGATGTACTATTTTGTAAGAACGATTGCATAATTGATGAAAATGATGATACTATGAATGTGACTCGAAACCATCTATTAAGGGAACACTCCGGTCAAAAAATATGGACAGTTTGTTTCGCTTGGCCACATTATTCTAAAATAGTTTACTCTTTTGAATAAAGATTTTAAACGAATATATGATGATAGTTAGTATACCTAAGTCGTGTACTGTGGCACTGCGCGCCTCCGTACACAACTTAGCTGTTTTGACACTTTACGAAACCGTTAACGTATATTTTACAACACAAACGACAACACTAACTTAACCTTAAATATTTATAAAGCCGCCAACCACTTCACCTCACTAATGAAAAAATAAACGTTTTCACAAACGACTTCACTAATGTAAAAAATAAACGTTCTCACTTACAAAAGTATTGCAACTCCTCCCATTGCTGTGCTTCACATAACAGCTCATAATCTTCTGACTCACTTTCTTCTTCATATAGGTCAAAGTCACTGTCAAAATGAATGTTAGTAAGTTTTGACAAAGCTAATGAAACACGTTTACCGTTTGTATCGTATGCTTGTATAAACTTTCCATTCTTCATTCCTTCATAAACGCTCAAACTAATTTTACCCTTTCTCCCTCGTATCTGATAGAATGTATTTTCACGAGGAACGAAGAACAAATTCTTGAACTCATGACCGTTGTAGTTTGTTATCTCAATAGTTTTCGTCATTTATATAAAAATAAACTTAAAAATTAATGATATCACCACCCTCACACGTATGAAAACATAGCCCAAAAATATATTTAGGGTAGAAGGGTAGATCTAACCTCATTTCTACCCTCATTTCTACCCTGTTGAATTCATTGCTTTATTCCTCACTGTCGTCTGCTTTCTCCAACTCTTCTAACTTCTTCTTAAGTTCAGCAATGTTGTCCTCATGAAGTTTAATCTTTCTCAAAATTCCTTCTTTATCTAATGGTTGCTTTATCTTTCTAAACTGAACTCTACCATCCTTCATAGTATGAATGTAAAAACCTTCTGGAATAGTTCCTGATTTAATGTATTCTACCAAAAACTTTTGTTTCATTGCTTCAGTGACTTTATTTGTCATTTTACTCTAAGGTGAAGCTAGCACAGCGATAATGGATTTCATGACTTTTTAGTATTTCATGCAATCTTAACAGATAGCCTTACAAGTACTTCCAGTGTCCCTAGCTGTCCCTCCTTTTTATATAACTCCATGACATTTATAATCTCGCGAAACTTAACAGGTAGCATAACAGATTAAAATCAGATGAGGTTTTGAACCAAAATTTCTAAGCAACGTTGTCAAGGATTTTGAGGAACTAGGGACAGAGTGTGGCAAAGTCCAAGATTTAATTTATCTTCATCTGTTTCATCAGCTATCTCATCTAATATGCCAATATTTTATTCATAACTCGTGGCAAACCCACTAACTTTCATTATGTTCATCTACATGCTTCATCTGATAGAAAGTATGACTTTCATTAACTCTGTGAGATAATGAAAACTACTAGGGACAGAGACCATGGCAAAGTTTATGACTTTCATTATTTCCAGAACTTAATGAAAACTACTAGGGACAGAGACCATGGCAAAGTTCATGATTTAATTTATTCTCTCACTAACAACAAATACAAAACTCCAACACTAACGACAAAAATAAATGTCCTCACTTCTTAACAAAGTAATATGTGCTTCTTACACCACCATAGCTCAAACGTTTCTTTTCAAACATCGATTGAAACTTATTTTGAGCCACTGGCTTTAGTCTCTTTTTCTTCAAATACGCCAAGAAATCTTCTTCACATCTTTTCACTTCATAGCCTTCTTTAAACTCCTCCTTGTTAAGTTCTATGAAATCCTTTATCTCATTCTTTGTTGCAATGGCTTCTTCACGAACGACATCATGAACGATTTCAACACTGTTCTCATGTATGACCTCCTCACTGTTCTCATGAACTATTTCATCACTGTTCTCATGTATGACCTCCTCACTGTTCTCATGAACTATTTCATCACTGTTCTCATGAACGACCTCCTCACTGTCTTTCATAAGCGTTTCAAAGTCTCCTTTACTCATTACTTCAATCTCATGCTGTTCACATAGTACTTAAACTCACTGTATATGTCTTTGTTGTATGTTATATTGCTTCCCATGTACTCCATGAATTTTTCAAGCACTTCCTCATAATTCACTGTTTCTTTCTTTCCACGACCTTCTAATATCATACTTGCTTCGTAAATATAACTTCTTGCAGAAGCGTCTCGCTTTCTACTTCTCTTCACAAATTCTCTCATCTGCCACCAAATACATTTGAACTACATGCAAAGAATTCATTCTCCTTCGCAAATTCTTTATATCTTCTGTAGCACTCTGTACAATTCCATCCGGATACAAACTTTTCATAGAACTCCTCGTAAAACATTTGGTAAGGTGTTTTGTTCATTTCGATGAGTTCTTGTTTAGCCCTGGTGAATGGTATCTTCCTTACATCAAATTCACTTAAATCTTTCCTCATGAAGTACGTCAGTAAGTTTGAATAAAACTCTTCATTAAAGCTTTCAATGAGATTTGAGAAATATTCGTAATTTCCTTTGTATCTGCTGCTTACGTCAATGACAACAAATCTTCTGTCGTCTTTGTCAATCTTTACTGAGTTGAAGTTGTTAGATATCATGATGATATTACAAACATTCTCTATCTTTCTTACTGGCTGACACTTCTGATTTAAGTCCAACTGAGTCTCTGTTACTATTGACTTTAGTGCGTCGTGGTTCATGACCTTAGACGTATCGCATGAGCTTAGTTCATTGCATACGATGAGCTTCATGTTCTCAATAGCAGCATTGAATCTACCAACCACATTCTCTATTGCCGTTATATTATTGTTGGCGTACTTGCTAATGAGCTCGCATAGAACATTACTAAGTACATTCTTACCAGTTCCTTGCTTCCTATTAACAAAAGTACTGTTCCAGTCTTTCCACAAGGATTTTGAACGATGTAGGCGAACCAGTTCAAAACATACTCATAAAGCTCTTCATCCTCATTACATATGACATCGTGAACATGTTTCAAATATCCTTCAATAACGCTTTCATCTACTTCATTCAGTACCTCATACTCATATCCTCTGAAATAGCTGTAAATGTCATCTCTTTCGTCAAAGAATCTCATGCTGACTTCATAAGATAGTTCTTGTTCTGACCCGCTTCATAAATCATCAGTGCGTTCACATCCTTCTCCTCAATACGTCCTACATAAACACTCTTCATGAGCTTATTGAATTCCTTGCTATCTACTGACACAAGTGTTGTTGTGTCTCGTATTCCATCATAATCTTTCACTAGATATGTCATACGTGCTCCGTCAATAACGACAACACATCTTCTTAAGTCATTTATAACACTAACTATGTCAATACCTTCTTCACTCATGTACTTATTTCTTCTCAAGTCCTTTAGTGTGAAAGTGTCTCTAAGTTCTATTTCAAGCAATTCATTTACATGTCCTTTGCAATACTTCTCTATAAAATATTTCTGTCGTTCTTTACTAAGTTTCTTAACAGCTCTGAAGAACCATGTGTTTTGACTCAAACATCCTTCACAACTTCTCTCATTCATTCCTAGTTCTTTCATGTCATTATCTTCAACCTCTATGGTCTCATTGACTAAGGTCAAGGTTCTTAGTCATTGCTGGTCTTATCTGAAACAATGTTTGTGCAACAGGTTTAACTAGTTCAGCAACGTCCTTCCTTAATATGAATAGCTGTTTCCACTCATCTTTGCTAACAGTTCTTTCATAACCACTGACAGTAATGATTTCATTTGCTGACCTTAGACACTTATGTTCTATCATTTGTATTGCTTTTGTGTAAGGCTTTCGTGAGCATAGGTTGTATATGTCATTCCTGCAATGTTCATTCATGCCAATAGTACTAAATCCTTTCTTTGCTGTTGAGTGCATAATATCCATTAGTTCCTGTGTTCGTATTGCTGTCTCATAAAATACAACAAGACCTTTGTCATCTATGACGTACTTACCGAAAACATTGCTTATATTCTTTAACCATGAAATAACATCCTCATTCATGCTGTCAAACATGAAGTAAGGTCTTACATACTCTTCACTTATAAGATACTCCACAAAGTACTTGTTAAGCTCTATGTCCTCGTGAGCGATTTCATTAGGTTTGATATTAGTTCCTTTTGT